ACCAATTTGAGTATTTGTAACCAATTTATAACCCTAATTATTTTTTATTAGGCTTTCTATAATTTCTTTTTTGATTCAAATTTAGAACAAAAAAATTCTTTCTTTAATGGTGTGGAAATATCGCACATAAGATATTGTTTTTGACGGCAAAATTTCAAATAAATTGGAGCAGATTTTCGAGAAAAAATATAAGTTTCAATAGATTGTTTTAGTGGAAATATCCAATCATTGGCATACCAATATTTTGGGGGCAATTGTGTTGGATACAGCACTTTAAAAAGAATTACCAGAGCCTCGCCAAATTAGATGAAAATGAGAAGAAAAAAAATCTGGGGGTTTAATAAAGATTCTTCATTCCGAAAAACCTTTTTTTAAGCTCCCCAGTAATGAGTGTTAATTCTACCAGGATTGATTACGTAATATCTAAGGAAATTGCTACTGCCGGAAAAAGTTTCACTTAAGAAGAATATGTTAAAAATGTATTTTATAAGCAGCCGCTTTGACTTATCCAAAAAGGGTTTGTTAAAAAATGTCTTCAGTGTGTGGACAAGTTTGCGGTCGAGTTGTGTGGTAGTGGTAACGATTGTCATCGTTGAGACTCAGGTTCGATTCCCGTCTCTGGCAATTTGTCTGAAGGAGTAACAAGGAACGCAAAAATGGAGAAAAAATTTACCCTCCGAGGCAAATGTGTCAAAAGACGGTACCGATACCAGTTCCAGAGTCGCGTCTGGCACCACTTTCGATGGCTAGGAAGTGCCATGCGATTTTATATTCTGTGAGTACATAATATCAATAAAAAAGTTTGCGGCCCGTCGAGCCTTCAGAGTTATGCTTGCGGCCCTTGTGGTATTTTGAGTTGTGCAGGCCTGTTGTACAGCTTGGCGGTGTTGCGCATCGAGCTAAGCGTTAGGAATACGCTCGCCACCGCACCGCTGATTGCCCTGCGTGGGTTCGTATGTTCGAATCCAATGCGTAGATAGTTACGTGCGAGAGGATTGCTGGACTTCTCGTCGTCGCAAGGTGGATTTACGGCTTCCTCTACCATCATGTCCATGCATATAACAAACAAATAATTGGCTGACTAATCCTATACCCGAATTGGACTGGTAACCGGACGAGACGCCGTGGTTTGGCATATGATTAAGTCGTCTTATCGGCGTTTTACTACCCCGGGATAAATATGTAAATCCTATCCTATGTCGATTAGAGTTACTTGCTAACTTACTGTTATAAACTAATTTTGATGGAAATACACGCGGTTAAGAAAGGGAATACAAGAGAGAAGTGCAGAAAACGAGCCACATCTCAGAAACTTTGCAACTGCATTCCTCTCCAAGATGTAATCTACATATTATGCTTGTGAATCTCTGTTCTCAGTTATAGATTTTATTAGGGCTCGTAACAGGAGTAGCCCGAAACATGAAACCAGTTGTTCGTGTATTTGTTTAAAGCAGGGGTCACCAAACTTTTTTGACCGCGGGCCAGGTATGTCTCAAACTGTGTTGCAACGGGCCGGAAAAATATTTTTTTGAGTGCAATACAATAAATTCCCAAAGGTTGAAAATCCATTCAATTTATTCAACAATATAAACTCTATATCGCCGAATATAGATCAAGAACGTCATAGCAAAACAAATCTACAATATGTTTAACAAATATCTCGAGGTTAGCTGTTAACATAACAATTGCTGTCATGAATATCCGCATGTAAGCAGTACAAAAGTTAATGTGACTTGTACTATTAGCGCAAAATGCACGTTCGACGTTTATTTTAGCACGAGAAACGTACACGGCAACAGTTTCGCCGAAAGTACGCGCCACGAGTGTACGGTACGAGTGCATCCTTCGCAGAAACGCTGCGTTCCGGTATAGAATTTTAGCCTATTTTATCACAGCTATCTCTAGACAATTTTTGATTACTGCGATTACTACAACTACTACAACTCCTAAGAGGAAGAAAAAATGGACCTCCAGAAGTAAGGATGGCGCACATACTTCGGGAGCGCCGAAAAAATAATGATTGACTTATTTGATTCATACTTAAATTTCTGAATCGCGACCAAAAACTATCGAATAGCATCTAAAATCGCGAAAACGAGATATTATTTGAAACCACAACTGAAAATTTGGAGCGGATGCGAAAAAGTCTATTGTTAGGTCACGTTTTGCATTCTGCTAATTGGCCAATGTCACAAAATAAACAAGAAAGTCGATGCTCGGAGAAACATCCCTTGGAAAAAATGCGCCATTTTTTCATGTTATTGCGGGCCGGATCCGGCCCGGGGGCCGTAGTTTGGTGCCCCTGGTCTAAACGGTACAAGATATAAACCCTACGTGAACTCTCTGTTAGCGTTAATGCAGTAGCAGAAGTCTCACTGACATAGATTAAGAAAAGTAATCAAATCTATTTCTCTTGTATAGTGAATATGTCCTCACGTGTTCAAAAGGTTTATTATTGTGTAACTTTGCTTTGAAAGTGGCAAAGCATTGTTTTCAATTTTGGTCGGAACGCGGAAGAATTTTGTCGTTAAATTTAACTGATTTTGGCACGCGGGCCAAGGGTTGCCCACCCCTGTCATAGTTGTATCTCTGTGACGTTTTAACGATCGAGTAACAGTTTACGATAGAGGCAGGCAATATTGAATTAATAAGGAGGCGTTAAGTGGTTTAAGGTTTATTAAGTGGTTGTTCATACAACAATATATCATCGTGAATTTTTCTTTGGACTTGTTTGTCCTCAATTTTTAGAAAAAAGAATGCTTTTTATCTTAATGTTTACTTTCTGTGATTGCTTACTATGCTTCTAGTATTATAGCCTGCATAACTTAAAGTCGTTTGTATCATCTTTCAGTATTTCCCGACTGCGCTTTTGTGCAGTTGCGCTTAGAGGTTAACTCCACTGTTTCAGTGTAATTGTACGCATGACTGAATCTTCTTGGTGAATGCCGCAGCCGTGTCAAAGGTCACCTGCGATGTATCGATGACACTGGTAACAATAGTGCTGCGCATTCCATTCGTATTTGTCTAATAGGTACTCTGAGAAAGTGAGAATCTTAAATAGCAGTTTGGTGTTATAATACACTGCTGGACGCTGTTATTGTAACATTGAAACGAACGTTTTGAAATTCACCTTCTGAAATCACCTTTATTTTTCAAGAAGTTACGGTTCCGAAGCAAGCACATCAGGCGGTTAGTGTCTCTTTGACCACCAAGTTTTTCTAGTGTTAATATACACAGAACACCATACTGTAAGAAAAAAATCGAGGAAAATCATATCAAATTATACTTGAAAACGTCAAGCGAGTATATTTCTATCATCATCTTAAATATTACTCTTTATACATATCCTCGTACATCTTATGATGGTATATATTTGTATGAGCTATTTAAATTCATTTTACTCTCCACAGGGCGCATATATCAAATAAAGATATGATTTATATTTATATTCCAATTAAACGTTCCACTCAACACGATGTTAAAATGGTGTCAATATATTTCTCTTTTTACAAATTATACCCAAATTGAAAACCACTAACACGCTAGATCATACCACAATAAGTGGTGTTCTAGGTAAATCTGGACTCCGGTACTAATAATATATGGATTATATCATGCTGCTCTTGCCGACTTGTAATTAGGCACTCCGAACAAAGCTTTAATTTTGACTCACGTGTGCCAGTATAAGACTCCGACTCAGCAAAAGTTCAATTAATATCGTAAGACTTTTTATTAAAATAGATTGCGCAATATTATGAGTGTCCGATTCTGCATGGCGGGGAATAAGTTTTTGCTTACATCTGATTAACAGTGGAATTTTTCATGACAACGCGTACAATCCGCCATAAAAATTGGCTGTGGTCATGTGTGTCCCTAAAATGTTACTAATTAGCGGTGGTTTTTGCTGCGCCGCCAACACGGCGGAATAAGGTAAGACCGTCTTTTTCTTGCGGTTGTTCTAATCTAATCTAGTATCAACTGTGATATATGACTAAGTGCATCAAAAACAAACCAATAGATAATTATCATGATGTTGCTTATCATATTTTCAGCTGATCTGTTGTGACGTAGTCTTTCTGTTAACATGCCGACTGCAGGTGGGCACCATAATACAAAGTGCATTATTGTAATCTGCAATGTGAAAATGCTGACCAAAGTGACGACTTGATGTGTTCGCTGTGGAATTGTGTTACTCCCACTTGTCCCTTGTTCGTACTGAAACCAGGTGATAAGGCCGACACAGGCACTAAATAATTTCAGAAGAAACAAAAGCGGTAGTCAAATAATACATTCATTCCATAATATACTCGCTTCATTCATTTCACGCCTTCTTATAAGGAAGTTCAATATAAAAAGACGTTTTGATTTATTCTTTTATTTTTTACTTTTTTTTTTTAAATTATTCATGTCAGGTACCAAACATTGCATTTTACTTTCACATTGCGTGTCTGATTAATTTTAAATCGAATAATTACCACTGAAACATATATTGTTGGTGATCTTCTACATGCCTCGTTTCAGTCTCGTTTTTAAATCGCTAAATAAAAGAAAGGATTTTATTACACTCGTATACAGCCATGGCACCTTCCGGCAAGGTTTAAATATAAAACTTCTATAGTGCAAGCAAACACATGTCCTACATTGATCCATATACTCCAATGGTACATTTTTTCGTTTTATTTTACACGCCTAGTTAAATTACTTTAAATTGTCGGTAATATGGGACCACATTTACACATCGCAAATGTAGCGATAGTCGCCTTCTAGTCTAATGTATACGTTATCAGCGACGCGACAAAGAGACGTCGTGAAACTTTTTCCGTTTCTCAAAAGTACATGGTCATAAAAACAATCTCGTCGTAGTCACATAGACGGCAGTCGCGAAAGCTGGCCCTGTAGTCGAGTGCAGCAAAGCAGTCACATACAGGAATAATTTTGTGATTCATCATCTAATTGAGATAATTCCACCAAATGTCATTGTAAACCATATTTCATTACATAGCTCTGTGAGTGTTTTTATAGGGTGTAAAATAAGCGAAAATGAGGGCAAAGTTGGAATGTTATTAGTTTGCAAATGAACGACGGGTAGTCTGCAGCTTCATTGTTAGGTCAAATTTCTTATCCCTTTTCTGACGTCAGTACAAGAATCTGAACCTTTACATTCTGATATGGCATTCTCCAATATGTATTTGTCACAAGAAATTCAGTTTGGAGTATTTCAAGAGCTTTAACGAGTATTTACAAAAGTTATAGTTATTGCAAATGAATGAAATAGTTGCAGAGTTGAAATTTGTGATTTATATAGCGAGAGGCATGCACAGGTAAGTGTATTGACAATTACAACGCGGGACCGTACCAACTTCGTACTGTGTGGTTATTGAGTCTGGTCTTCTGTTTTATGCCTGACAGCTAATTAAGCTGTCAAATTCTATTATTTTATGAAGCATTTCCTTATATTCTCTTACTATAGAATTATTTGCGGAAGAGTAACCCTATTTGAAATGATGTGATTCATTCAAGTACCTAAAATAGTCAGAAAGGATGCCTTCACCATGGCGAAGATATAAAAGTACGGACATGCTACATTGTTATGCCGGTGGGAAGCACATCGGGCATCTGCCAAAATATTTGGCGTCACCGGAGTTCAACTTGATCGAATTCAACTCTTTCTTTTTATCTTTAAAACACATAGGTCTTATGTTTAAAGTAATATTGGTTCTTTTGATGAGATCTATGGAAAGTAGTTTCGTGGTCAATTAGACGACCAAGTCCATAACTAATGAGCAGGGTCTGCATTCTCTGTGTTACAAAATGTACACGTGAACGAAATCACAACTGTATAATAGTGCCATACATAAATTTATTTTTCTTTAATGTAATGATCATGCTTACAAATTTTGTCTTCAGTTTTATGGAACAGTCTATCACGTTTCATGAAGGTGTCAAAATAAATTTGTGATTAAATACCATTTTTGTACAACCTCATCATACTCATTTCTGCCATAGGTTTGAAGTCACCCATTTTTAACTATTCAATAACATTTGCTTCATAATAGATTGCACTGTTAATTATTATGAATACAATCATCAAGCTTCTTCGTTTTTGAATTACTATAGCGTTGACAGTAAGGAGCCTATAGTAACCTTCATGAAACAAAAATTTTGGATTTACAAGCTCGAAAATAATACGTGAACAATATCAAGCGTGAATCGTCAAAATTGAAGACACAGGACATTACATGCAGCATCTGCAATGATACGCTTGGCTGCTTTCGCTACATGGATGTTATTGCTCGTTATTGAAGGAAGTGCGCTATCTATTTTGGTATGTTTGAATTCAATTTTGAAGTTCAATTATCTCAATTCCACTCATATACTGCATGCGTACTGTTATTTGTCAAGTTTACACTTTTGCACATTAGCTCACCTTGGACGTGTATTGATTACTCAAATAATGCAGCTATTTTCGAGAAGCGCCTGATTGCCACGGCATGAGTACAGTTTTTTCCAGATTCTTTATTTTCATAGAGATAGTATAGAAGAATATCAGTATTCCATTATCAGACGGCAATTTTTGGTACATTTTTGATGGCCCTTGCTGTACTTCCCATTAATTTACTTTAAATACCAATTCTTGACGAATTATTTTATAAAATTGGATGATAAACATGAAATGTTGAATGTTTATACATTTAAGTCATTTTCAAAATTTTTATTTTTTATTTTTATTTATTGTATATAGGGAAACAATTGTTCTATCCCGTTGAAATGCCGCCAAAATGTCACCGTTATTATTTCCACATCGTAATTAATTGTATGAAGTCACTTAGGACTGATAGCGAGTTATTATATCCGTATAGCTGGTGAAATTTAATACCGTAAAAGAAACCCCCAACTCGTATGTACATGTTCATTTTGTCACAAATCTGTTACCATTTACCTGATAAAACACATGTTATAAATTATGTCCTGACAATGCTCTTTTGTGGATTTACGGATGGAGTAACATTGTAATTAGGCTATGAAACATTTGTCAGTGGTAATTATAGCCCACTGAAAGAGTCGTAATAGGACACGACGTCAAACTAGTAGCAAACAGTTCATAATTTTAGTGGCTTTTCACGATAATTCGGTAAGGATTTAAAGATTATATGACCCACTGGTTTACTTGACCAAGTTGCTAATTGTGTATAATTTTCCAAAATGACTAATTTAATTCGAATGTAATCGATTGATTTCAAGTGATAGATCAGGAATATAAGCCACAAACTGCCAAAAATGTTATCTGCGACAGATTAATTTCCGTCAAACTATCTCCAATTACGCACAATTTTACTTAATTATATTTCGAACGTCTTTCCTTCGCAAGCAATTGGCGTGGCCATAAAAATGTATTGATTTGGGGTAAAGTAATAATGCTATTCAATGTGTTAATTCTGGTATTGATTTATTTTGTGGATCAGAACACATTTCATACAATATTCATCATATTTTTATCATATATATATATCATTTTCATATATTAACTTGTTTTTAGTGAATGATTATCCGTATTTTTATTATTATTGTATGGGATTTCAGTGGATACCTTGGCTTAAACGTCTAATAATGATACTTCCCAATAAAACTGAGACAAATAAATAACTCAGGCCCGCCAAATTGAAAAGTTTTAATTATGTACTGGCTATCTGTATATTGAAATCCTGGATACCCCGACGGCGAATACGTATTCCAAAAGCATAAATTTAATTATCAAAAGATGGATCGCCGAAGAACCGATTACTGGTTTCCTCGAGAATTTAGCTTATACTCTTAAAAAGATCAGGGGATTTTTATCAGTCTGTTTCGGGAAATCGTCAATCAAAATGGTCTTTAAATGTACCTATGAGTCATTGGTAAACACACTCACGTAATCACAACTGTGTAGCCCTTCTACAGTAAATGTTTAGAAACTATACCATATAGCAGAGTTGGTTTTAGTTACATAATATATGATGATTGGTAACAACTAACAAGTCTATTGCAAAATTTTCATTTTCTAGCTTAATATAGGTAATGAATCAATTTGTGGTTAACATGGCGCAACAATGAATCAAGTAGCCCCATTTCTCTTATTAGTTTGTTTACATACTAATGAATTCGAAAATTATTATCTTGACATAATGCCCTAATGTGAATCATTTGTATATTTTGTCGCTTGGCGCGTGTAGGTCCGACTTTTGTTTTATCAATTAATACAACATTTTTGTTCGCATGCTCGAAGAATCAAATTTTGTCAATTGGGAAATATAGAGGACGCCATTGACTTTGGATAAGCATAATGAACATATATTCATTCCCAGCACACTTTTTGCCTCTACGTCGATTTATAGACAACATAAAAAAGTCTGAAACATTCTCATTGTCATTGGTGCGGTAATTGTTTAGTTTAGAAGACAATCTGTCACTAGATCAGCGAGAAAGGAATTTTGTTAATTTAATTGTTAATTTACAACATTCCGCTGATCAAAACAATTTAACAAATTATTACCCATACTTATGCATAGAGTGTTCTTGTTGTATAATTATATGCCTCTCATTGACTTGATGAGCGGTTGGTTATATCGATTACAACAAGCAAATGTGATTTGTTGACTCGAAACCTCTGATTTTTTTTTAAATTGACAATATTCGAATAGTATTAATTACAAGAAACACGTTGAATTCTTGAAAAATATACATAACAGTCTGGAATAGCCGTGCGAAGATTAACAGTTTCGAAGACAATTCAGCGATGTCGATCTTTGTGCAAACTTGTTATGCCTACATGCCAACTTTAAGATTGTCTTATCGCTATTAAATATCTTGAGAATGACACGCAAACCATTTATCGTGCTCATCGCAAATAAACTTCTTAAGAGAAATAATTGGCACTTTCTTGAAGCCAGTTGTTCTCGCCCAAACTAATTGTAGCCTTTGTGATAGAAGCCCTATTGTGTTTTAGCGATGTTGAAATAGTGCAGGCTTCATTTTCAAACGATATTGCCACCTGACAAGGTGGTTTACATTGAAATCGCTTAATATAAATTGTAAGGAATGATGTACAAACTTTCTTCTTGCATTTAAATCTACGAGTAAAATTTTGTTTTTGAAAATGTAATGCACTCTCAGGCAATCATTCGAAGGCAAATTCGTGGTTAGAATTACAAAAAATTACATATATTTTAAGCTTTAGTTTAAATGTAATTAGAGTCTTACCCATTGATTCCCAAATGGTAGTGCGGTTGTTTGATATTAACAATGTTGTTTTTAGACCGAAACATAGTGTATATAAGCCGATTGATAAATTGGAATGCTTTGTATGTATTCATTTTTTGCCATGTCTTAGCAATTCAATAATATATTATCGTTCATGGTTCTTGATATTTTGAAGCAAAGCTAATATAACCAAAAAAATACCTTTGTGTCAAATCCAGATATTAAGTACAGCCATTCGATGAGGTTATCTAAACTTGAGATTTTCAAATTAACACTTTTTTTCGATTTCAAAACGCAAATTTCTATGCTCCTGTGTTATCAAATCTCGGTATTCACTCAGAAGCATAGACAACTATAAAGACGAGCTGAGCTTTCGGTATTACGATTAGTGTTATTAGTTTACCATGAAGAGTCGCCACCACCACGCCACACCTCCCGCTACATACTGTTAGCATTGGTCATGTATGATCAGAAAATTTTAGTCTAATCTAATTGGAAATATGCCTTTTCGATTAGAAAGGTAAAACATGAACTGAGCACTGATGTCATATTGACTTAACCGTATTGACTAATCCCTAATTTGAACCTACAGCTTAAATTGTTATCCGCTTGCCGTTGACATTTTTAGTAATCACTCACCAGACGAAAGTAGAAGGGGCTAATTTGAAATCACAACCGATGATGATTTAGAAACAAAGCATTGCAACGCGACTCATCAACTAAGTGCAAATTGTTTTTGCATGATGTTGTCTATAGTTGTCTCAAAATCTGTTTGCTATTACTGTAATACTATACTAACCCTTAATCTGTACATGATATTCTTTGAAAATATTTACTTTCTGTAAAACTCAAAATGCACTTCCATTGTGATTCTCGGTGATAAGAGTGACTAAACATCATAATTTCTCAAAAACATGTTTTCACAAATAGTTCAAATAGTTTGGTTTCGCGTGTCGGCTGTTCATCACGTGACTAAGTAACGCCATCAATTTTCGATTGTATACGATGATTGATTTCACTTCGTTCATCTTGCAGTTTGTGTAAGGTAAGCGGTTGGTTGTCCGCCGTATGTATAGAATAAACGCTTAGAACGATTCACAAATGTGGTATAAAATACAATACATTCAGGCGTTTGTATGCATAAGATAACGTGAAGCAAATATTGACTCTCATTGAGTAACAATTTAACGTCAAAAAATTGTGTGTCAGTATCTGACAGAACATATCACAGACTGATCTGTTTTAGATCTTTGAATAATTGATCTTTTCCCTATTTTCCATAATAATATAGTTTGATGTTAGCTTTACATCTGTCAGTTTATCGAAGGGACTATATGCACTGTTTCGTAGACAGATGCATATGATGCGTGCGTTCAGCTTCTTTAAATGATAAAAAATTTCATGTTTTGGGTCATTTCGAAGTAGATCAGCTTTATCAAATTACAATTTTTATTTTGTTTAAAGAGGTTTTGAAATTATAACAAAAGTATTTTTTAATGTATCAAATTCAAAATACCATTTCAACATTTAAAACCTTTCTCGACTACCCATTGTTACATGGGAGTTCAACATCTATTACCTCGATTAAAAGACATGTCAAGTAAATCCAAATATAGATATTACTGGGTATTTTATAATGCTTTTCCATGTTAGATGTATATCATTTTTTGTGATGTCCTAAATTTGGCGTTCTTGTCTGATTTTGTCCGTGAATAGTTTCATTTTGAAATAACATGGCCAATGGGGCCACATATATCATCCCATTATCCTACAAACTTGAAATGTTTGTTCGTCAATACGTATTGGCATATCAAGCGTTATTTATCACCACCTGATTGTATTTTAGTACTGCAGGTCTGTAGTATATAATTTAAATTGTCATAAATGGATATCCTTGCACTTCGGAGTCGAACCCAATTTGTGCAATATATAGGAAACCCATCAAATCGCAATAGTTAATGAATAAAAATACCTTGGCACAATTGTCAGCTAATTACACAACCTATTTTCAATATGATAAACTATGCTTTTAAACTAAACGGTGCTAGATATCACACAAAGTAAAATTAAATTTTTCCCCACATTCCAATGACAACAGCGTAGAACGGGTTATTTATGGTCTGGGAATAGTAATAAAATACCTCGTAGCGTGTGCGGTTGGGACATAAATCTCAATGATCTTGATTATGACGTTTATTGTTTAAAAATAACCGAAATAGCGATGCGTTATAATCGAATGCTTCAAATAGTTTCAGACAAGCTGGTCAAATCATTGTTAATATAAATTCTTTCATAATTGCATTTTGTGGCTTGTGTGTGAAATTTTATACGATTCTTTGTCCATCCTTCGACACTAACTATCCGATGCTTACACTTAACAACGAGATCAGCTGTAATGTTCGTTTAATATTGGATCATCGACATATATCAAATTCCTCTAGCAATAAGCGGGTTTCTATGTTCCGAGTACGCTGTTTAATTTATTATTTGTATGACTGAATTGATATATGAAATAATCATTTTGGAGTCATTTCATACAAAAATTACTTCTTATCGAAATCTGAGGTCGAGTACAATATTAAGCGCGGTACTTTTCCTGACCTTTCATGTGACTTATGGTAGAAAGGTCGCCCTCTTTGTAAGACCTCTTCATCTAAAGGTATAGTTAAGACTTCACTATAAATTTATCACGAATAGTTGAGCTTATAATAATAAATTTTCACCTGTTATATCAATATTGTTAATCGAATATCGTATGTCTATCACCAGTAAAACTTTCGTGGGAAAACTCCGTGCACTTTGTTTAATTTGTCAATATTGTCTACAATAAAAAACATTACCCCTCGGCATCGCCTGGGAACAGCAGGAGAGACCTGAGCGTTGTTTCCGCTCACTCGTAAAAACGATACAGTATTGTCGCGCCAAGCGATACAGTGGTGTTTCGTATAACAGGCATAGAAAACGACGTTTAGTAAGTCGAGGAAGATAAAGGTACACGATTGAACCACTCAGCTGCGTCCAATAACCTAACTTTGCCTGGAATGAACCATTGAACTATCGTGTACCAGGACCGTTTTTCATCTAAGAACATACTTGACCATTTATTGTTAATAATTTACCAAACTTTAAAAAATCAAGTAACTGTGATGAGCGTTTGACAAGGTACTCTTCCGTGACCGCCGCTAATTTGCGACTACTGATAGTCAAGTACCGTTTCACGACGAACAGTCATCCATCATTTTGCTAACGAAGTATCACGCACTAATGCTTAATAACGCTTAAATTTCATTTTAATATTATAACATCTAACATCTTTAACATTACAACTATCTGAGAAAATGACACACTTATGGTGTAAAGTTGTTATATATTACTTTAATTTATATATCCGCTATAAATACATTAACAATGTACTTATAATTGAATCATTAACGATGCTGTTGAATATTATATTTCGTAAATTACTTTAATAAGCGAGGAAAGTGGCGAAAAAATGCAGTTGCAACTACAGCGTTAAACAATGTATATATCAAGTATCGACTGTGGCAGCGAGTTGTCGCAACATACGTCGTGATGATACAACCTAGTATTTTATTTGCATAGTAGAACAAAATTGTCTAAATCACAGATAAAGTTTACAATATGCTATCGATTGGTTTTTTATGGAACTAACTACTTCTTCTTCTTCTATGCTTTTGTGCCGGTGGATTCGTATGCATATAATGCAATGATGCTTTAGCAACAGTAGAGATAACTATCCTACGTATTTCAAGAGTCTTGGCTGTACAGTACAATAACACAAATATATTTTTATAATGTTTCAACTATTGAATAATGTATGTATGAGGAAGTCTGCATGACCCTGGTCAGACGAAATGTTACAGAAATATATTGTGTTAGTGTGCAGAGTGACTCTTGAATTACTTACAATTTACAATGCATTAACCACAACAAGTTGACCGTATTGCTTTAATTGAACGGGTTTTAATCTTTTTCAGACAATAGAAAATCACGATTTTGATGAGCACCCGCCGGATGACGGGTGGGGAGAGTGGAGCGAATGGCATTCATGCAGCAGGAGCTGTGGAGGAGGCGTAACTTATATGGAAAGAAAATGTCTTCGGAATAGGCTAGTAAACTTTTGTTCTTATTTGCTATATTACTGATAGCATCAACATTCAACCCTTTTTAAAAATATCATTGTCGTCCATTTAAGTGAACTCGCTATTTCGTGCTAAAATTAACAATTGTGACTTCGATGTTCTCAATCCGTCATCAAAGAAATTAAAGAACATCACGCAGACGCATTTGTGTTTACGCTTGGGAAATCACGTTTTATACTCGTATATAGGCTCATGGACATGAAAATCAAGAGTTTTGTACCAGTTTCAAACTTGGCTATTCAATTCAGTTTACAGCTTTTTACAAATCTGATTAGATTTGGGAAGGAATATTTTAGTTTTGTCCACTTTTTTGAGTTTTCCCGTCGTTCTCTTAATCATACTATATTGGGTACTCCCGAAGTATGTGAACCAAGATAGCGGACACCGGAACGTAGTATGTGTGCCAGGTTAGGGTTAGGCCATAATTGTATTCCAATTTTCCTTATTTTAGTTCGTTTAAGAGTTCAGGGACTAGCCAAGTGACTCCCGTAGTATTGGTACCTGAAATTATGACCTAACCCTAACCTGGTACACATACTACGTTCCAGTGACCGCCATCTTGATTCACAAATACTTTGGAGTTGCAAAAAATTTATTTACATTTGCAAAACAATTATTTTACATAAAAACTTTAAAGCAGATTAACGACTACACAACGCACACTTTTTTTGTAGTAGTAGTGTGAGAATTATTGATAACTATTGTTCAAAACTGAATATTCTGAAATATGAAACAAATAATTCGACAGTTTTTAGAATGGAGATTGTGTTGTATGCTCGATTCTAACAAGCAGTTTCTCTATTTACTATGAACGCATAAATACATGTGTTTGAATTAAATGTTTGAACAAATATGGGATGAGTTGACTTGTGTAAATAAATCTCTGACATTCCTAAACAACAAAAATTGCTGAACTTTTCCAGTGCATCTTCATCGTTAAGTCAATAACCGTGTTCACTATTTATTAGAAAAAAAATTAATCGTATTGCAGAGAACATAATTATATCACTTTATTGTGTTGCTCTTGATGTGTTAACTATGAACAAGTAATATAATAATCGGAAACTGGCCTAGCCTATATGCAGCCGTATTTCCAAGTAAACATTCCAAATAAATCAGGTGCAACTTTAATAAATATGAGCATATGTCAGATATTGTACGGAAGGTGAGTGCAATGTCAAGGTCGATGAAAGATTTCTATAATCTATTCTAGAGCCATAGGTAGGGAAACAAGAGAAAAAGAGTGAACTTACTCTTCCCTGATTATATCCTTTACCTGCTGATTATTTATTTATTACGTACAACATTATATAGGCATGGGATAGTTTTGAGCTGGAATAAGTACGACGTCATTTTAACCTGCTCTCTCGAACAACTCGGACCGAACACAAATATCCAGATTGTCATCGCTTCATTTAGCGTCTAAAACATTGTTTATATGTTCGTTTCACACGTTTGTTTTTATTGCCGTTTTAGTTGCTAATCTGTGTTTATTAGGGCGAAGAGCGAAAAATAATGAAGACAAACATAACTAGCGGTATACTTCTTTCATATTCGCGGATCTTGTGTTTTCATTCCATTTAGATGTTTGTTGGTTTTCATAATTTGTGCCTAGAAAATGGTGAGGAAAAATTAACCGGGCATATTTAAATGCTGATCAAAGCTTCCTACGTCGTGCATCAGCGAATACTTCTTAAAAGTGCGAGCATCTCTGTTTTATTTGATGTGAAAACAAACAATTGACAATGGCAACATGCGTTGTGTCAAGATGAAAGACAGCTTCACACTATTGTACTAATGTTTGCAAATAAATCAATTCTTGTCGAAAAATGTGCTGAACAATGTCTGGTACCTAACTTACCTTACGAATAATGGAAAGGGTGGCTGTGATTTTTATACCAAAATTGTTTTTTTTTTTCACATCGAAAATCAATGATTTGCGAATTCGTCATTCTTTTCTTTGATTCAATAATAGACAAAAATATTGCACGGCTTTGCACCACATAATCACATGTGTTGGTTTACTGTAGATCACAACTGAAATATAGGTGACCGTACATTTGAAACCACGTACATTTGAACCCATGCGTATATCCACGGGTTCAATCTATATGCGGGTGCTAAAACCCATGGGTTAGGGTTAGTATGGGTTTAACTATCCGTGAAACAAAAAAAATTCCATAGATGCAATAGCATACAGGTGCAATTGTCATGGGTTCAAATGTACGTGGGTTCAAATGTAATGGAACCGAAATATATATTATTGAATAAACGGAAATGTTCGAAATATTTGAAGGACGATTATAAAATATTCAATAATCTCACATAACTTCGCACAGGTAGGTATTCCATGTTAACTCGCCAACTTTTTTTAATCACTCATAAAATTACCTTATTGTCTGTCATAATTTTAAAAGTCACTGTTTCGCATTATATTGACTTTTTTTAGATCTGTATTTGACGATTAAAAATCTTGATATATAGTTTTGATTGCAAACTGTGCATTGTGCATGAAATGAATAGACCTGGGACAAAATTTGCGCAATTGCTTCATAATATGTACATTTTGTTTTAATGTACGTTTCCGTTAAACTACTGCAAAAGGGCATTGTATATCGCGAATAAGCACAAGTAAATCGTCATCAGTGTAATTGAATTATGCGGTTCATAATTGGTATTTCATGACCTGCTCCTTAATTGATATATCGTTAAAATTGATACCAAATTTCAATTTGTTTTGTCAGTACTTCAGCACCTGGGTACTCGAATATTACGAAATTGGGCGACAAATCTCAGTGGTTAACGTCTTTCTAAATACGTCATCAATCGTTTCACTTACAGCGCGAGAGGTTTTTAATTCCGACATCACCTACGCTAGGTTAGAAGGTAATAGACGGTTTCCGCAGAATTATTGGAACATGAATAGGTAGCGTTTCCTGAGATGTGTGATAAATATAGTGAACTCGTGTATTGTGCGTTGGTAGTTTCATATCAGAACTCTCGAGCTGTTAAATTTATACTCCAACCAAATCCACAGTAATCTGAATTAATATATGTAAATTGAAATTTAAATAAATGACTCTTGTAAACATTATATCCACTTCCCGTTGCTAGTATTAATTACACATGAGGAAATTTACTCTACAGGTCCATTAGACAGACATTTGATATTTGATTAGGCTTGTTTAGTTGTTATATGTGAGGTTTTTTGTTTGCACTCTCCTGGTTGTAGCTAGGTTGTAGCCGTGCTTTTGCAATCGAACATCAGGTTTGAAACAACTCAATTGTCTTCGATTGGATAACGTTTGATTTTGGATGCACTTCGCACAGAATAATGTCATGTTAATTAAATTTGGATCTGGTGTATCTCTGTCGTCTGAAGATTGGTCAAAATTCGTTACATAATGTTTTGGTACATCCGGTACTGGTTATCATAAAATACTTGGATGAATCGGTGCGGCAACCTTTTCGTGAATGTGGGGTGTTTGCGCTCAGAACAGGTTCATATATTGCTCATAATAAATTCATAATAAATCGACGCCCGATGTTTTTCCACAAATCTAAGCCATCATTGAAACCTCTAATAAAAAAAATTATTCCTCGTCGTTCAAACGCGCGAGAGGCATGTACGTTTCGTCTGCCATGTATTTCAATCTGTTTTACTCCCTTTCTTCTGTGAAGCTAGGAGAGGCAATTTTCATGACCTCAATATTTGACATCACTTACTTGTACGAGCAAGTTTTTTCACGAATGAACCAGGTCAAATCCCCCATGAGATCACTAATTTCTGACAGTCACATAAAAAATTCGCTTTGCATTGCTACATCGTCCATCGCACAGAATATTGAAAACTTGTTGGATAAAAGCAGTGCCATACTTCACATTGAAATATCTATGTGCGGTAAAAACTTTTGACTTTACTGTATCTTCGTATTTTCATTGTTCTTATAATTTTGGTGTGAGGGTTTTGTTTGTTTTTTTGTTTACCTGAAGTTGGTGTAGTGAAAACTAGACCATAACTATCATGTCAAGTCTCCCGCGCAATCATTGTAAACTACATGTGGCCCTTCGGCCATAAAGGTTGGACAACCCTGCTTTAGAACAAATGAAATATGTTGTTTATGATATAACACGCAATTAATATCTACAGGGCTCCCTATTTCAATTGTTATAGAGATTTTAATATTGGATTGGGCATTAGAAGGTTTTCAAATTTCACGAAAGTACGCTTTATTCCTTTCCTTTCTGTGCTTTTAATTAAATCCATATGAAATCCTGAAGTTTGTAACTTTAGCATTAGACTCCTGGATTATAAACCTGCTGTGTAATCGTTGTACAAAGAAGCTTTATTATTTTTGAAAATATGATCAAATTTTAACACCTTCTGACATTTTATTTTTATCTCGATGTTTATGAAAGATTGCACTAATAATGGAATTTGCATAGTATAAAATTACTCTTTTTGACGTAAGTCGTGTTTTCTCAGTCGATCCATCAAAGCCAGGGCGCTAATAGTGATTTATTTCCTAATTATGGGATTTGCAACATTATCTTAATTTGTGTTTATGCATTGAAAAAAACGTCCTGGGTGGGAGCATTTTTCATTTTAATGTGATAATTATTTCACCCAGGTAAAATATATATCCATTAAGCAAACAGGATGTAAACTTAGGCATATGAGTAAATATTTTATACAGCAAATTTGTTTACCAAGTATAAATGTCGGTTTCACATCAATATACTGTTGATTCGAACATTCCATGCCGAAAGCCATCGACGAAACTTTTGTCCTATATCGTGTGTGTTCGGTAAATGACAAACAACTCAACCCAGTCACAAAAATCCTATGACACGGGTTAGCTTTTTTTGCAATGACGAATTGGGCGTTAAGATTATCTTACATTCTGTCAACTAAATCACTTCGCCGTATACATGATCATGTATGTATGCTATGATGTTATCTTTGTCACAACTTGGAGTTATTGGGTTATATCCATTCGTCGTGCGTCCCAAAGTTATATAGTAAACGTCATGAGTGTCGAGTTTTCACTCTGGTTCCCAGGTTGATTATCAGAAAATGTATGAAATAAAGTTATAGTTCCATGAATCTACTTCCATAAATTTATTATAAAAATTTGAAGAACCTTCGCATCCGTTATTCTACACGGCACAGTGTGATTAACATGCATTAAATATCCACGAGGTTTTTATTTTTATTCGGTTCATTAAACTACAATGACTCTGTAGTTTTCACAAAATAACTTCCTCGAACCGCAGCCAGTGACTTGTGGCATGCAGTTGACCGTGTTGCTCAGAGTTCATGAAAACTGATGTTTCTTACTTATTTACAGATTGAGAGGAGGTAATGATGTGGAATGTGATGGACCGCGGCGGATGTATACATCTTGCAGCATTCAGGTATGAACAAACTACTATTTTGGTACAGATCCAAAGCTGAAAATTCGAATGCCATTAGTGGAGAAAAACACGCTTCGTTTTATCTCTTATATAAATAAGAGAAAATAGGATTTTCAAGAATTCATTTTGAATGATATTGAATCTATATAACTTTTCTCAATAATTATCAATATTCGGCGTATCCATGAACGAAACGAAAAGGTAATGTTCTAGAAAAAAAGGGAAATTCAACATTGTGTCAATTTTTACAGAGTAGTGTTTAATACATTCTGCATTTCAATCTTATTTACTTCAAAGATACATAATAATAGAATATCAAACATTCCAAATTTCAAGTTAAACATCTTCGTATCAAAATGATTTCTTAACCAACATTGAAGATAGATGTTTGTGTTGACTGAGACAAAGGTGACATTACTTGAGAGCAATGCTTTGCAAATAATGATATGCATCCTTGAATACTTGTTTTCCGGAATATGCCAAATGTTTTACGGTTAACTTGACCCAGGAACGTGTCGATTTGTTTCGACGGCTAGACCCTTCATATTTTAAAATTTTGCGAGAGCTTTTAAAGCACTCGTGTTATTATGTAGTCGATGAAAATCTCACGGGACGCTATTTTGAGACATAATTACGACGTGTCAGGTTTCACCAACTCGGAAGATGTATTATTTCAGGACGTGCAAATATATATTTCTAACAAAAAACATGAAAAAATTTGTGGAATGCTAAAACACATTTTTGACGGAACTGATCAATATGCGTGATTTTAATATAATTTAAATAAAAAAAATCCAACCTGGGGACTTCGTTTTAATATACTTAACCCACTCAACCCAACACACGCAATAGAATCTGAATTCAAGCAGTAGTGTTCTAGTGCAATAAGATTGTGTGCCTAACTTCGGTAAATTAAAAGGGTAAGAAGGATATTTGATAAATATCGTTTATTTTTAACTAAATAAACAATTTATCCTCTCTTAAATAGACAGGTTTGGAAAGAACGTAATAATTTTGAAATTGTGGCCCACTGAAATTATTTACCTTCCAATGGGCAACAATAATTTTTGATACTCATTCGATTTGACTTGACCGAGATATTTTGCATTCTATGATCAATCGTAATTCAGAATATTAAAATCAATGCAAAACTTTCCAAGTGATCCGCCTCCGTGGTGGAGATGACCTTGAAAATGACGTATTCGATTTATTAAAGATTTGTTGATATACCCAGATATCCCTTTCGCCTTAGATGAAACATAGATTAGCTTTAAGAAACTCCAGCGTAAACGACGTTTAAAAATGTGATCTCTGAATAGAATCATATTCATGACAAGACCCCCACCATGAATTTTTGAAAAACTAATAATATAAGCTAATACCATAGAAGATTATAGAAATAACATTCTCAAATATAAATTCATTTATTGGAATCCAAAAAGAAACATACCACACGTGTGAGACAAATTAATGTTCGTGATAAAAATGTTTTGTCGGCGATGCAGCAACAAGTGATCTCGTTACGCGCTATATTACCATAAATTATCATCGAACGATGTTTATAAAGTTTTCAAGTGTCTTGGTATGACGCTTAAGTATACTCGGCGCGACTTGAGCCATTGTGATTTTGAGAATGCTGATCGTGTGTGGTCTGTACAGCATTTCAAGTATTTGCCTTTTAACTCTACGCTCAACCGCTTTAAAAAGGAACGACCTGACGTGAGGACAAACTTTGTAATTTTTAGTTGGTTTCCTTGCACTCACGAAGAAAGGTATGTCGATGTCATAAGCTTGGAGCGCGGCCGATTCAATTCTATACCACTTAACTTAAATAATTATGTATTCAATTGTTTGCATCTATTTGGGGAATCCTGTCCTTCCTTTTCTGTTGAGTGATGCCAGAATTGGTTCTTCCTATCCTAGTTTAATAAAGATTGTGAGTTAGTAATATTGCGTAACAGCAAGCAAAAAGAAATATTGCCTTAATGCATTTGCATAAATTATGCATGACCACTGTTTTAGACACTTATCAGTCAGCGCAATCTGTAAATATATTTTTCATAGAAATAAAATTATTTTCACATACTTCTTACAAATTATTTTCTTTGAATACGGATTCATCCATTCATTTTTAAAGTAGTCCTACAGTTTAAATGATATTTTGCATATTGTCATAATACTATTTAATGACAGCATGTGTTTTCCTTCTTTTGGATTTTTCAACTTCCAACTTAGAATATCTGAAATCATTCGCGATATTTATCAAAAATGCTATTTTATTTCATTAGCTTGAGTTTCGGCATTGAGAAAATACATTTAAATATTGTTTTTTAATTATATTCAATTCGTTCCACGAATACAAATATCAAAATTTGATATCTGTTTTATATATATATATATATATACAAGAATGGCATTGATGTCATACATAAATGGGTTAATTTTACTCCATTTTTTACTTTGTGGGACTGATTAGACGTAGACCCTGCACGTGAGTTCAAGTTAAACAAAGTCCAGACTCCAGTGTTGAAAGACGACTACTCCTGGACTCTCAAACAAAAACATTCAGCATGCGTGTGAAACCCACAAAATCAGGGTTGTGGTTTTATGTCACGAAGCCGTCGTATTCCACAATAAACAGGCAACTCTCCTTACTTTGCCCTATTGCTTGACAATAACATAATGGATTTTTAGCCATTAGTTATCAGTTGATGCGGTTGCTAAGTAAACAAACAAATGAGGTTTATTGACCCCCAAGGTCAAAATAAAAGTTGGATGCCAAATCTAAATCGCTAGTTACGCGACGCTCATGAAAAATGTTTTTACCAAATATTCTAAAATGTTCACGCTTGTTGAAATCTCAAGTTGTACAATAAATAGTGTAACTACCCTCTAAAATCTGTCTTCATAACGAGTAGAAGTGTGTCCTTCGACAGGCAAAAATAAAGTAATTGGTGTCCATAAGTAACAAAAGTATGAACTCAACACGACCGTTTCCATTTCGACCGTATTTTACATCAGTGGTTCCCAACATTTATACCTTGGCGGACCATTGACATCGAATATACCTTCGCGGTTTGATACCTGAAAATGTCAAAACATCGCCGGGGCAATCAATACCATACTTGAAAAACACCAAATTTAACGACGGAATACAAATATCCTAATAAATAAACATAATTTTGCTTATTCGATAATCAAACGGTTGCGCTGGCAAAAAACACAATTTTTCGCAGAGCGGAAAAAAATTCCTAGGCCGCCAGCGGTCCGCGGTTGGGAACCAACGTTCCAAACGAACGTTTCCATCTCGACCGTTCGAAATGGTCATCGTCAAAAATCTTCGACTATTCGATGATGGAAAATGTAGGATTTTTGCTGCGTATGAGGGAACCAAAAAGAACTGTGCGCTAGATACACCCGTACGTCGCGACTCGCGAATCAACAAATTTGTGCCAGAAATATACGAGAAACTGTCAGTGAAAGAAAACGATAGGAAGCATTTCTCAATCACAGCGATATTTATAGACAATTTTGAAATTGTTATAGAGAGGAGATTTAGCACTCCGTGAAATGGACCTCAGCCTCGACATGCCTACTTTCAGACCGAGGCTTCGGTAACAGTCGTATCTTGGCTACAGTGCTTTATTCAAGGTTCATACTGTCATGGTGTTCTGCTATTGTGCGGCGGCTTTTTGCTTAAGTGAAAAAGTTAATCACAGATCGTGTCGGTCGCTTCGATGCCTGAAATATATGACTCTGAAGAACACACGAGCACGCGGATCAGGAACAAGTGGATGTTGCTGTCATATACAATATCTGGTGGCACTTACACTTCAAATCCAATCATATCAATGTACGCCTTGGGTGTATCTTGCTTCACCGCCCACCGACTTAACGTTAATTCTGAGCTCATTTTAGCAAAGCTGCCAATGTAACGTCCCTTACCCAACCGTCTGAATCCAAAATAATGTCGAAATTCTGACATTCTCACATGCCAATCTAAAAAAACAATTTTAACCACATTACGTTTGCGAGATTGCTGATACTTTCAGCCCCAAAATTACAATGCCCTTACTCGTAGTACACAGCTATCACTCGCCCTTTCATTGCCCCTACTTGAATTTATTTGCTTCCGAGTTAGTGATTGGAGAAAAATATTGTGGCTTTTGACGAATCTTCTCCAGTTTTCTTATCTTTTCATGAAACAAATTGTACATTATACGACTTAAAAGGTAACTTGGAAAAAGGCGTGGATTCGAATCTCTCGTCTGTAAATATTAGTACTACGAAGTAAATTGTTTGATAACCATTATTAGACACGAAATGTACTTATGGATCGTTATCATTATTATTATGTTGTTGTTTGCGGTATTTTGTTTCTTGTTGTTATTATTGTTGTCGCTTTTATTTTTCATTACTAGAGTTAGACCAATTTTTTTATAAATTTTCAGTGGTTAAGGATTGCATTTGTCGCTAAAAGGCTAACACTTTTATTTGTTTCAAAATTTTTTTGTAGGCCTTGTGGCGGTTCGTGAGTCGTAACTCGTAGGTCTACTGTGTAGGATTGCATATCCGTACTGCATTTTGGCTTTCGTGTCCAAATATTTGAGCATTGCTCTCTTGTTACGTTGAATGAAGCAAACGCAATGGACTATTGATAATTGTAGTACTCTCATAATGTTATCTTCACCGGTAGATCTTTAGAGACGCAATAACTTCATATACAAATAATACAAAGAGATTTATTGATTCGTCAACCAAAACAAATATAAATATGAAAGCATAAATACAAATAAATAAATACTGTTTATGGTAAAGACTGGAGGGAGCAATACGACCATATGGATTCGAAGCGAAGTGTTTTCATGTTATTGAAGCTTGCAGTGGTTTCATAGTGGCTGGAACCTGATTGAAATTCCCATGAAATATGTGACGTTTTATCCACAGTTGAAACCATATTACCACAAATGGTATCGTACGTAACCTGTTAATTGGCAAACTTGTGGTATCATCAGGTCACAGGGATCCTGCATCCGGATATATATATTTCTTCCGATTCCGCTTTTGTTTCAAGAAAATAGATTTAGGCCTTGTATAGTATAGCCAAATGAGACAGATCTTGTCATCGTATACTTTCACCATGGTAATGTGAAACCCAAAGGGGTTTGTCACACATTTCAAATAACAACCCTTGAACCACTTCCTCAATTGAAATGACCTTATACGGTGATCAGAAGCCACATTCATGTAAACACAGTATTGGGCAATGCATCTAAGAAATTTGTTAAATCAACTACTGGATGAAATATAAAAAACGTGTTTTACCTTTCAGGACTGTCCAGTGAATTCCGAAGATTTTCGCACTTTGCAGTGTTCACAGCATAATAACCAAACACACAAGGGAAAAAAGTATCAATGGGTTCCATATCTTGGAGGTACGTTTATGCTTTACTAAAACAAACTAGAATTAGTGTCTACTAAACTTTTTTTTATGAAGTTTTGGAATAGTGCAAAGCATTTCAGGTGAAGAATGTCAAATTTTATTTCAGACGCTAACAAACCAAATCATGTAATAATTGATCTGCCTTCTATTTCACGAGTGTTAGGCAAGTTGCAAAGGTTTATTCGATCACACTGGAAATATTTTTACATGAACTAAAATAAATTACTTTACTTTTTTGAAAAATCTAAAAAATTGGAGAGAATGATAATATCAGTACAATTTTTTAGTAAACATCTTGTATTTCAAGCCTTTCCATTATAACAATTTGTCTAAGAGTGACATCTTTAGAGCTGAAAAGTCATCAACTCAATACACGGTTGTTTTCGAATAACAGTAGGTCTGGGTCAGTCTTCATATGCAAAACAATACAAAATGAAACAACTTCAGACTCATTCAGAGCTATTAGTGAATCTCCCTCGAGTATAAACCTATGCGCTCGTAACCGCTAATGACGTGTGTAGGCAAGAAAATTAATTATCATATTACCACAAAAAGCATTTAGTTTCTAACTATCGGCACCTGAAGTATAAAATAAATTGCGTATGAATTAAAAGTACAAATAGTATCACCGTATGCGAATATTGGAGTTTTCTCGCATAAATTCCACTGTGTAGGCCTACTCAAATGGAGCTGATTTGACAATGCAGTGCAGATCACTGAGAAAATAGTTAGGTGTTAATTCCGTATATTGTTGTTATGATGCTACCATCAAAATGATAAGCGAATGTTTGTCTATGCGGAAATTGCATAATGTCGTCAAGGAATGAATCCATGTGCGTATGTGGATTATGTGCGAATTCTCGTCAGGTAAAAATATAGGAAAAGATATTTTTAATAGATCGCTTTAATATTCGATTTGTTGAGGCTATCATAACAATAATTTTCTAGTCGGTATCATCATAACTATAAAATGGCTTCTTCGATAAAAAGCGTATTCGTCTAATCTGTAAATTCTGAAAATATAAATTTCCCAGCGCCCTTTAGTCTGTCGTTGACATCTCTGTGATAGTCTGATGTTTCAAGCGACACCATGAGAATTTTCGATATGATTTCATCGTTCGTTGTCAGTAAATACTACACAATACTATTTCCGACAAAGTCCTGGGTCTTCCCATACATAAAGGGAAGAACGGATGTGATGTGACGCCAGTAAACAAAGCAGCTATTTTTTTTTTGAGGTTGAGTAATCGAACTAATTTTTGTCTCATGCTGGTTTTCTTCTTTCGGTTTAGTGATCTTGAGAGATGTATTAAGTGCATTTGTTAATTGGATCTACGATCACAGCAGTTAGCTTATAACTCTCAGAAACGACGCTTTTAAATTAGAAATAAGACCCTAGAACAAAATTAATTTTTAATCTTTCCGAAAAATGTCAACGAGGAATGGAGGGAGATCAATGACCTTTAGGTAGAAGCTTTTAGTAAATTCCGCGTCAAGTTTGGTTTCACACAAAGATGCCAACATGATGTGGCGACGTTGGGTAATCTGCTGGGATATGAAGCATTTCGTAGTAGTTTCATCGTTGTGGCCTGTTTTGAATAGAGCTTGCGAGAGAACTGCGAAACACATAGAACTAAAGCAAGCATACATTACATAAAGCGCTCGTTACACATAAAATGATGATATCATGGTCATAATTGTTTGTTACTAAGTTTCTTTTTCGTTGCTTCAAATATATTTTGGGTTGTAATCTTGAACCTTGCAAGCAGACATACAGTAATGTCTGTTTTTAATCAACCTTGACGACACTTGTCAAAACATTGCTTCCATAGTCGTGTTTTGGGGCTTTATGAGAAATAATGGGTTTAACATCTGCGAAGAACGAAATTTATTTACGACAATGGGAGATACTAGAATGAATGACTGTGAGCTTTGAAAAATATACACAGCTGGCGTACACGGTTGGAAAATTCGTCATATTTAATGGCGTTTTATGACGGCTGCTTTTTGCAAATGCGAAATTTGAATGCACTTGATATTAGAAACAACTCAAATGTACGATCCATCCTTGGAGAATAATATGTAAATTTAATCTAGACGCGTTCATACCATGAATACATATACGCGTGTTATCGGATTTCAGTAGCTCAAACTGGTTTCATCTTATGTCATATCAACTATTCAAGACACGCGTGGCACCTGTGTCGTGATATCATTGCACGTTTCTGGTAGCTCTCCTGGAATTTCAACAATGGCGACCGATAACTTGTACGGGACAAAATAAGTCATTTACAGTCGTCCGTATATTTACGATTAGTCGTCAAATACTTAACTACGCATTTTTAACTTGAATGGGACCAGCGTCTAATTTGGCATTGCAGAGGATTGAAATCAAAGTGCTGTGTATTTCTTCCTAAATTTGCACAAACATTATGTATATACTATATATCTATTACTATTTTCATGTCGGAATACTCTCCCGAACACAATAGCGTATTTTATTGAAAGCGTAGAAATACACGTAGCACGTCGATAGGACGAACCCACTATCACGTCACCAAAATTGAACCATATCGATATGTTACTCGAAAATAACAGGATCGATTTTGGTCTAATATAAAGCATAAAACATACCATAAAAATTCGAGAATTTGATGAACAGCCTATTTCATCGGGTACACATCAACTTCCCTTTACAAACCGGAAGGATTCGTTGCTCATTTTTGATGTTTATTTTTACTTTTAGAATCAGCACCGAATCCGTGCGAACTGTACTGTCAGCCTAAAACAGGCAATTTTTTTCTCAAACTCGCAGACAAAGTTCTTGATGGTACTCCTTGCAGACCTAATCGATTTGACGTGTGCGTGGATGGAACTTGTGAAGTAGGTCTAAGTAGTATTTCCCCGATTCTCTATCACACACATAATATACAGTGGATAATATTACTTGGTAAACCATATACAACTTGCAACTCACCAATACACTTTTCTCTAGTCTGTTGGGTGCGACATGCTTCTTGGTTCAGACCTCAGACTTGATGTGTGCGGTGAATGCGGTGGCGATGGAACATCTTGCTATCTTGTTAAGAGATTCGTGAGCGCTAAATTGCCAACGGGTGAGAACTAAATACACATTTTTCTTATTTTTGACATAGGTAGCGTGTACCTCTTGTGTTAGTTAATGTATCCGCGTCTCCCAGCTGCAATGATACTGTTGCAAGAATTATTGAGTGGTACCCAAGTCTTGTATCGCACTTTTTGCACACCCATTTATGGGACGTTTAGTCTGACCAAAGTTGATCTTCCTCAGACGTTCAGGTTACAACAATCATTTTTCTATATTTCAAAGCTTGTCGTGGATGTAATATTACTGCGATAACATCAACAGCTTAACAAACATTTGCTCGCTTTGACGATAGGGTAATTGGTAGATGCTGATCGTATGCAGTCACCTGCTAAATTTCTGACAACAGTTCATGCGTGAAAGTATACAGACGCATCGTCTGAGTTATTCGATAATGAAATGCGGTCGGATTGCTAAGGATTAACGACCGCATTGGGTGCCATCGCACATCCAGAGATTATTTGCTCTAGGGTCTAGGCACTTCGATTGTCTTGTTAAGCGCTGTTTATTTGTATCAGTTACCTAGACCTATACAAATAATAAACTCTTTGTAAACCCTTAAAATTCCTCCGCATGTTCTTTACCAGCACAAGGTGGGACGCCCCACACGCCTGCCTAAATCATTACGGGGCCCTATTCGAAACGAATTGCGCGGGGTCCATGCTGATTAGATAACAAACAAAAACAAGAGAACAATACTCAAATATATGGACACGAAAGTCAAAACGAGGTAGTATAAAATCTTTTACAGTTCCGGTAAGTTTAAGCACCTGATAACTGAGAATTGCTCACGGAACCACGGCACGGTGCGCAATTTTTAATTTTGTTGACGTCATTACACAAAACTTCGAAGTGAAAAACGAATCCCTAGGAAAAGGTGCGAGGCCCACTGAGGCTGCATATGTGGCAGTTGCCCAAGGCCGGCGATGTATTGTGGCACGCAATATTATGTTTGAAAGTAGGCCTCTACGATTCATGCTTGAATGTTGAATCAGCCCAAAATTATTTGACAGTTCTCACTAAACGAATGGTCATCAACAATTTAGCACAACTCAACTTGAACATTTTTCCAGAAATTATCCGATCAATATTTTCACGTAATATTTTGGGTGTAAGTGAAATTTGTCCAAGTGTAGTTTGCTGCCAATTTGAAACCGCGTTCAACAATTTCCTCATTAAATTAACATCGTATTTGTTTTAATATGCTAACTGATGTTCTAGGATACGTGCCATTGATATTCATACCACCTGGAGCTACAAACATTCGCGTACACGAGAAAAAGGGAACTCGAAACTTTTTAGGTATGTTCAACCTTGAGATACAGAAAAAATTGTAAATTCTGATTTTATGTATGGAATACCATATTGACGACCATCAGGCTACTGTGTTTTTGTTTCAAAAGCTTATTCCATATCTCTGTGTCGTCATTCTTCAAGCAGACTAATAATTTCTATACGAGGCCAAGATTTACAAACCTATTATAGCATTGAACTTGTTTACGCTTTTGGTTACTTTACGCTACGTTACACTTACGCCCATTAAAATTTTATCACGCACGCCTATCCGTCACTAATTTCTATACTACCTCTAACATTCAGAATAAGAAGGTTAGATGTTAGGAACCACTGTTCCAAAATATCTAATAATACGTTGGGATGTTGAAGAACAGTATCTAGTTTAATTTGTTTTGTGTTATACATTATGCATGTACAGCGGTAAGAGACTCTGGAAAAAGGTACGTCCTGAATGGTCACTGGCAGGTTAATGGTTCTACTGTGATACACGTCGGCGGAAGCAATCTCGTATATACTAGAAAAAACGACAGAAAAAGAGCACCGGAAATAATAGAAATGACTGGACCAACGGCAGAAATGTTGTATATTGACGTTAGTATTTATAACTTATAAATGTCAATTACCTGTAAATGACTCCGAGTTGATTTATCATATTTAAATTTGTTATTCGTTTGCAGGTTTTAGTACAGGAGAAAAATCGAGGTATCGAGTATGAGTTTTATCTGCCGAAAGGAATGAATGACCCGAACCACGGAGAACACGATTGGATAACTGGCCAATGGCAAGGATGTTCAAGAGAATGTGGTAAAGGTATGTTGCTTTTGTCAAAAAAATGGTGTGAATGATCTTCCATTCAATCTGAGTCCGTATTCAGAAATAACGTTAAGCATGTGCATAATAATGCTCTTATTTTCCCATCCAGGTTTGCAAAAAAGGCGAGTAGTGTGTAAAAATCGCAACAATGGAGAAAAGGTATTAAATTATCATTGTGACGCTCAACAGCGACCCCAGTCAACGAGAGAGTGTGAAGTTATATCTTGTAAAACTAGGTGAATATCATCGTACAGCCTTCGAACAAAATTGTACGTTTATATAAAGCGAGTTTTATTGCCATGCATCATTCTATTGATAGCTCGGATGTCTTTTAATTGTTCAGTAGTATATAATTCATCTCACTCACTATTCATACTTAGATGGGACGTCGGAGAATGGACGCCGTGCTCGAAGTCATGTGGTGGTGGACTAAAAATCAGACCTGTTTCATGCATTGTGACTAAAGACGTCAAAACAGGGTGAAGTGTTATTTTTATTTACCTTAAAATGAATATCATCAATCCCCTCCAGATGGATGTTAATCTCGTGCACTGGTCAATATTGTTCATTTTTGCTTATCTCAGCCCATATTTAAAATTTTGTTTCATAAACCTAATTTTTCATATCCCAATAATTGAACCATATTGTACAATTCAAAACGTTAGTGACTCTCAAATCCAATGCTAAGCAGTTTTAAGCGTCATCGTTTATATATACATCTATTTTCCGAGTTACTTGAGTTTCCTAGTGGCAAGATAAACTTGTCATTTTGAGTAATTGACCATTATCGTTATTACAGGTCTTCAGTGGTTCCCGATAGTAGATGCTCGGAGATGAAGCCACCTACCCAACTAAATTGCGGAACTGATCCTTGTCAGAAATGGTTCATTGGAGATTGGTCAGCGGTAAATATACGCGCTTTAGATACCATGTATTAACAGGAATATCTAATATTTTGGATAATCATACTCTGTGGTCATTTTACTAACGTAATGTAAAATACGAAATTATTTTTAGTGCACGAAAAGTTGCGGGGCAGGTGTTGAGCGAAGACAGGTCAAATGTTCGGGTACCCTTTGCAATATAACCGCCGCACCACTGCGTGAAAGACCTTGTAATCTACGCCCTTGTGGAGGAATTGATTGGATAACGACAGAATGGAGTGAGGTGAGAATTTGAGCAGTGTCGTAACTAGATTGTTAATGGTGGATATACCTACACCGTATTGTGAAGTTTGATGTAATACTTTGTAGTGCGTTGGCGTGTGTGGAAACGCTGTTCAAACACGAGAAGTAAGTTGCGCAGCTGAGGACAGAACTCTTTACCCAATCCGACTATGTGACGCATCAAAACGCCCTAGTACGATACAAGATTGTGGTTCCAAAAGTCATTGCCCGGATGAACCTACATGGATTGTTGAGGAATGGAGTGAGGTAATATATTTTCCAAAGTTACGAAGATGTGTTTCAACATTAATATTCATGTGTCACCATTCTACAGTGTTCTGCTACATGCGGCAGAGGGCAGCAAACAAGGCGTGTTGTTTGCGGTCTGTATGAGATCGCAAACTACCGGATACTCTCTGACAGCGTTTGCTTGGATGACAGAAATAGCCCAAAACCACCGACCTCTCAAGAATGTTTATTAGGGAATTGTACGCACAGCTGGTATACAGGTACATCATGTCTGTTATATTATTTTATATACCATGTATACTTCTTCACTCACTGACATTTTCTCGTAATGTTTACTAGGGTTAAATGTCAACAATTCATCTGCACGAAGGTCTTTTACATCGTTAACAAATTTCAAACATGTTGTGTTTTCATCCTTGACTTCAAAATGCATTTTAGGCCCCTGGGGACCGTGCTCTGTGACTTGCCAAAATGGAGTTCGAACACGTCTTGTACTATGTATCAGACACGTAGAAGACTCCGAGAACGGTACCTGTGACACAAACTTCAAACCTCATAACAGCGAGATTTGTAATATCAATACGTGCGATGGTATGTATTTGGATTCGTGAAATACTCGCCGATCATTGAATAATGCGATTAAAGCTCTTCACTTGTAACTGCTTTGAATAACCTCTCATTAAAAAGATGGAGTATTTTTCAATTTGTAACAGTGACCAGGCCATCAGATACACATAAGATTGTGAATTATTCAGATCAAGGATGGTAGAATTTTGTGAACTCTTATTTTCTGAGATCACGCATGATATATAGTATATTCACAACATTTAAAACCCCACTCATGGAAAATTAAAAAATTAATATATTTTTCATCATTGTTTAGAAAATGAATACATTGATTTACCTGTGATACCACCCATGAACGATTGTCACAAATCAACTTACGGTTGTTGTCCGGATGGTATCACTTTGGCGTCTGGTCCTTTTCAAGCATCTTGTCACTTGCCATCTTGTCGGGAGTCCGAATTTGGATGCTGTCCAGATGGTGTTACAAAAGCTGAAGGTTCAGATATGGAAGGATGTAAAACGTGAGTCATAAAAAAAAACGTTTGTTTCAATGTTTGGAGCGCGTGGGTTATGAATATCACAATATCGTGGCTTGATTCTACAATAAAAGTGTGAAGCTAGACGTTTTACCATTTTTGAGCATCATTGATATAAATCAGGGGTTCTCAAACCGCGGCCCGCGGGCCAAATACGGCCCGCGTAACGAATAAATGGCCCGCCGAGCTTACGTGAAATAGTGTTCAACAGGTTTTGTTTCTACCTTTTTGCGATCTGGATACCGCTAATTTATGTCATTATCAGAGTTCAAGCACTTGTTTATCGTAACAATTCAATTATACCAGTGTTAGGATTACATAGGGCAGTAATTTAGTTATCAGCCCATTGAAATTCTCCATTGAAAAGTAAAAGTTATTCTCCATTGAAAAGTATCAAACTTTAGAAATCTGTTTTCTTTGCCAACGAACTATTCCAGTTCTGAAGGAATACAACATTGAGCGCCATTATGAGTCAAACAAACATGTTTCAAAAAAATGTAAAATGAAAGTGAATCAAATTTTGGGCGCTACATTCTTTCGGCCCGCGAACATCTTTCCGATTCTGATTTTGTCCCGCGGCCAATAAAGTTTGGGAACCCCTGATAGATATAGCAAAATGCATTTATCATTTTTTCACTTTTTATGTTTTAAGAAGCTATGTTTTAAGTTTCAGTAGTAAAAATCCTTTGTCTAATTTTATTAATCTACCCTTGTTCACACAATTTACCTCAAAGCAATGTTTCGAGCGGCGAACATAGTTACAGCGAACATCGGTGCGTTAAGATCTGTGCTTCGATTCATCTTTGTGAAGAATGAAGAATACATGAGTTTTCATATTTGATCTTGAATATGCTATTTATTTCTAACATAATCTTTCAGTGCAAATGCGTCCTTGAATGAAAACACTACACAGCAAATTCTAAACTCTTCAGAACCAACTGTAACGCCGTATTTGAATTATAATTCAGGTATGTCAAAATGATTTTGAAACTGTAAGAGCAGTATACTTGTGGTTTTATCTTTGCTTCAATTACGTTGGCATCCAAGGTTAAGAGTAGAGATATGTTAAACCAAGTCATTATTCAACACAACTCTGCCACCACGTCGAGGTGTAATCATATGTATAAGAAACAGGTTAAGATCGCGCGAATTTGATCGGTAGTCGGTAGTGAAGCATGTCTTTTGGGGAAAGAAAAGACTTCGAACATGTTATAAAAATCATGTGGGGGACCGTGACTGGAGATATTTAATGTTTTAGTGACTTCATCGAATATTTCTTTTCAGAAATGTGCCTCCAGAATGTCGATCAAGGTCCATGTGAGAACTGGTCTATTTATTGGTTCTTTGATGTGAAAACTGGTCAATGTGATCGTTTTTGGTTTGGCGGTTGTCATGGAAATGAAAATCGATTTGAAACATTTGAAATTTGTGCAAAAATTTGCAGGAAGTACTTAAATCAATTCAATGAAGGTACTGATTGATGTACGATCGAAAGTTTAAAATAAGTGTCATGTGTACATAAGCACTCAATTCAAAAAAAATATTGATTTCAAAACCAGGTTTCCACGATTTGAGAAAAAAATACTGCAAAATATATAGCACTCAGCATAACCAAATAAAGCACGTGTCACTTTTGTCGTAGCAGTAATCGTGTAAACGTGATCTCAATATATATTGTTTTGTTGTTTTTGTTTGTTTTCTTGCTTGAAAAAATGCATAGCAAATTTATTCAACGTAATCTATTACATCCTCATTTCTTTCAGCAGTTCAAGTATCGACAACGCAACAACCTCCCACAACAACTGCAGAAACCTCAGTGTCATCTCAACAAAACAACTCTATCTCTTCAAATAACGCCAATGTTTCACAATTCGAACCACCACAGCCGCAAGAAAATGAACAATTTCCTCCGCCGTCGTGCTTTCTCAGAAAAAGCGCCGGACCCTGCGAGTCTAGGCACCATAGATGGTATTTCGATGCACGCACCGGATCGTGTATCATGTTTTGGTACGGTGGTTGTGGTGGAAATGATAACAATTTTGCTACCGAACAAAACTGTATAGATACCTGTGGCAATAGGCCGTTACATATGTTTGATAGAGGATTAGGCGAAGAAAATACCCCTCCGGGTGAGAGATTTAATATGATATAGGTTGATAGGATGAAAATCGGTATATTATTGAATTACGCTTTACGTTTGTATATAATATCAAAAACGACAGCCGTATGAAATAATACAACAGTCGGATGCAAGAATTTGCGAGATGCAGTGTTTGAAATTTTTATGTAGCATAACTGAATACGTGCTGTTTACAACTATACGAGTAAGTGTCGACAAAAACTTAGTTCTGTACAATGAAGTGGCAGTAGCATTATTTGTTTAGATAAACAACTAGAATAATTGATAGTCAAGATTCTTCAAATACGTTTATTTTAAATTACCAGTTCCGGCTTACATCAAATTTGGCCACAGAGAGGTCTACGCTCAAGTTGGGAAAATGGCAAGATTGGCGTGCATGGCCAAAGGAACTCCGAAACCAACAGTGGTGTGGCAGAAGGAGGGTATTCCTGTTTTACCTGAAAAGGAAAGGTTCGCATATTTTTATCTATCTTGGTAGAAGTGAAGTAGTTCTGTAAGCCCGTTAAAGTGACTTATTTAATAATAGTCCACTTTGAAGTAAACTCAGCGTACTTCTAATTCAAACTATCTATGCCATGTATTTCTTGGAATAATTGAACGTGATTCCGAGATTTTGACAGCGTTTCCATTGCATTAGGTAAATTTTCATGGCATCGATTTAGCTAGCATTTTAGTCGTTTGAGTTAATTTTGATTTCCCTTTCAGAATCGAAATTCTGGGCGATTATTCATTGATTTTATCAAATATCACACCAGAGGAAGCAGGAACCTACGAATGCGTTGCGAGAAATGGATATGGACCCGATCAAGCATTGGCGGTCAAGTTATTCGTGAGAAGTAAGATGACTGTTATTCACGTCGTCGCATTTTAGAATGATTTAAAATGAGCGAGAAAATATTTTTGCACTCAATCCATAGTATATATATATATATATATATATATTATATATAGTTTTACTACCTACGTTGCTTTTATTGTTGTTGTTTGAGTTAGGATTCTGAAAGTTGTTCTTTTAAGCCAAATCAATCCCAAATTTTCAATACTGGATGGAAGGAGTAGCAAGAAGGCTATTATACGTATCATTTCGTGTAATTCCCGAGTTCTACGTGGCTCAATATTTTACCTAATTAGTACAATTCTTTTAACATTTGACTGGAATTTAGCTCACATTGCGAGAGTCATTTGTCATGTATATTCATCATTATATGCACAGATCGACTACTAATAAGAGAGACACCATCCGACACAGATATATTGGCGGGAGAGCCGGCAGCATTACGTTGCAGGATTCATGATGACGTATTTTTCGTAACATGGTTCAAAGACGGACAAAAAGTGCAAACCGGTATTATAATTGGTTATAGTATTATCATTTGACAGTGAGTATAGCTGTGCTTCCATATTTTTGCAACCGGATTTAAAAGTGTTTATGGAACGATATTCCTTTAACAAACCAAATATTATTTTATGTTGAGTAATAACATGCGAGGATGAAAAAGCGATTGGACCTTATTTGTGAAAATGGTGAGGTGCTCCGACTGGAGAAAAATTTACAAATGCTTATAACAAAAAATTCACTTTGTTTTATATAATAAAATATGGTATTTTTAGACGAATATTACAACATTCAACCATGGGGAGATCTTCATATTCTAGACGCAGAAGTAGAGGATAGTGGCGTATATACATGTACAGCATACGCGACGAATGCACAACAATCGGCATCAGCAGTTTTGACAGTGTCACAAAAAGGTATGGAAATTGTTGTAAAAACTTGAAATAATCTTAAAAACTGGACTTTATTTTTGATCGAAGTGTTTTCTGTTATCTCTTCTTCCTTATTTCCTTTTCTTTTTCTTTTCTTTTTTGTTCATTTCTTCCGCAGATATCTGAACTTTATTTTGATTTGCGGACTTTCAACTTCAGAGCAAACTTCGACAACTGCGACAACAACAAGAGCACCGCAGTCCACTAGAACTTTTCTGCCTCTGCCGCAATCGCCACCTAGCAGACAATGCAGAGACTATCCTGAATATGCAAATTGTAATATAGTTGTTTTAAAGCGAATGTGCCATAAGCATAATTATGCGAGATATTGTTGCGCATCGTGTGGCAATCACAGATCTGCACAATTGCCTAGACCTGGACGGCGAAGGGTTTTTGCAGGTGCCCGAGTGCAATAGTCAATAATCGATAAGGTATGAGATAATCACGATGGTCTATGCTTCTCGGATCTACGCTACGGATCTATGCTTCTATGGATCTACAGATAAATCTACGGATTTATTAGACATTCGAAAATATCATCGAATATTCGTTTGGAAAGTAAATCAAGCTCATTAAAGAAAGTGTTGTAACAAGTCATTTGAGACAATTTTTATGTTCTGAAAGTCATCGCAGTGTGCCTCAAATGCTATCTTTTGAATCTGCTATGAACGAAGTTAGAGTTTCAATTGGAAAGATTGACTCTGGTTATTTAATATAAAACAACAACTTTCACGTGGAAATGCGATCAACTTTTCTGGCCATACTCTTTTTTAATGCACATTGTTCATGCTTATGACGTTTTTAAAAATATTTTTTTTTTTTGTTATTATTGATACCATACAATAATCATATTCCTAAAGTGTTGATTGAATGTCGATATACCACATCCTTTCGAATGTATATTTTCGAAGTACTTTTTCACGAATTTGTCATATTTTTATTTGTTACATTTTTTCCATTTCTTTACCTCTCAATGTACAATTCTGAGTACATTTTATACAATTCAGCATATTATCTTGTTTTTTGTATTTTTTCAAACTCTTAATTTATAACGCAACGATTTTTCACATACTCCCTTAAAATTTCAGCATGAATTTTCAAGTTAGCCCCTTAGCAGGTAGTTTACGTACTTGACAATAGATAAAAGTTTTCAACTTCGGGAACAATTGTTCATTCAATTAGATTTGAAATGTTTTTGAGCCCACCACTCAGGTGAATGAAGATGTTCATTTATCAAATTTTTATAACTGTTTTCTATCCGTGATGTTTTATATCAGTGTAAGCATTTTTTTTTATTTTTATTTTACATTTTTGAGTTGCACCAACACTTAGCCAACCGTGAATTGTTCAAGTCAGTGCCCCTCAACATATGTTCCGCTTATTTAGTTTCCGTGAGTTTTATGGGTTCCGTAAGCGGACAATTCAGAAAAACTAATTATGACATGTTTCCCAATTTTGAGCCAAAGAGAGTTCTTATTGTTGCACACCAACCGTTGAGGTCTGACAGATGGTAGCCTAGTCATAAAGCACTGGCATTTAATCTATTAGGCCTTTAAGGTTTTCGTTGTTACTATACAGGAATTAAAAACTTTCTGGATTGAACTGTTGGAGGTATTCAAGTGCTACAGGTCTCTGACTACGATGTACAGTAGATGAGTAGTAAGTAGAGTCGTACACTGAAACTGTTCAGACCTTGTAGGGATACAGTTAAAGTAGTGCGAAACTCTGTATTTAGCCAAACCAGATGTAAAATAGCATGTATTCCTACGCGACGCGAAGTTGTAACAACTTCGGAGAATGCGCAGTGTAGTCAAAATGTAAAAATACACAAAAATGATGAAATTCCGAATGTAGCTTAACCCGAATTCCCTGGCTTCTCTAAATTAAAAAGACACCTTTCCACTCCCCCAATATCAACGGCAAGGGCGAAACGTTTGTGATTTTAGTTCATTTTAAATATTTGTCAATGAGCTGTATAACCTCAATGCGCGAAACAGTGCAAGAGAGCTTGCCAACGACTCTTTCCTGAATACTCGCTTACCTAGTATTTTGCAACTGGTATTATAGGAGACTTTTCATTTATATTGAACAGTTGATGTGTTTCTAAGTTACACAAAAAATTGTTTCAAATGTGTCAATAGTATGACAATTCAAATGCAACCAAATTGAAATGATTCGCACTTTTTAAAACAATGTGTCTGGTTGTCCTGTGCCACGTTCTTGAGTAAAATGTGGAACTATTCTCCAATATAATTAGTAGATATGAGTATATACTTTGCTTATCGTCCGTATCTGCTTGTTCAAAATGTAAAACACTCAAATGAAAAACCTACCAGTTTTAGGGTTGGGTGTTTCAGTAGGAACAATTTTGGTACTCCTGAAGTATGCGCACCAAGATGTCGCACAACCTGAACTTCGACCTGGTACACAACCTGAGTTCAGGTTGTGCGCCATCTTGGTGCGCATACTTCAGGAGCTCCCAATTTTTTCGAATCGTCTTGGGCGACAATGAACAGCCGTAATCTAAGGTGACAGGGTATACCCATACATAATTGCACCTCAGTTAACTGTATCTAAGACATTTGCACCTGCATACTCTTGCGCCCGCGAACATTTGCACCTACAGATTTTAGTAAACACATGCAGATTGCACCCACGAACATTCTCGCTCATAGACATTTGTACCCATGTACTTTGCGCCCACGGTCATTTGCACCCATAGACATTTTCTCTTAAGGATATTTGCACCAAAGGATAATTGCGCTCATGTACATTTTCACCCATGAATATTTGTTTTTCAGACAAAAATCAATCTTTATTCAATTTATATCAGAATAGGTGACAAATTGTAACTAGAATTAGTTACAGGCGCCATGATTTTTATAATGGTTACAAGCAATAATTGCATCTCACATTAGTCGTTGTTACGATTATTTTCTTCCAAGAAAATGAAGCAAACATACTTGTTCCAAGGCAAGCACAATAGCTCCCAACCTTTTCAATGAACTGCACCACTTTAATAAAACCAGATCGCGAGGATTAAACATTGGTTTTGCTGGCGAGGATTTTGCCTCCAAGAACAGCGAAACGTCAGCTAATCACGTTATGAGACTGGCAGACGAAGCAGAGACGTCCTTGTAACCATTAATTTGTTAGTCCCACATTTGTCCTGCTTATCCAACACTTGTTATGCTTAGCTCACACTTGTTCTGATTGTACCATAATGTTCTGCTAGCATCACACTGGCCTTATTGACCCATATTTTTCCTGCTTTTCCCGCAATAATTCTAATAGTCCCACACTTGTAATGCATGCCTTAAATTTTTTCGCGTGTCCTAAACTTATTCTGATTATTCACACTGGCCAGGCTTGTTTCACACTCGTGTTGATTAAATCAAACTTGTCTTGCCAGTCTTCTATTTGTTTAATTTATCTCACACTTATTCTGCTTTTCACGCTTTTTTTCTGATAGTCTCCCACTTATAATGCAAGTCTAAAACTTTCCCGCGTGTCCTACACTTTGACTGATTTTTTTACACTTGCCAGGCTTGCCTCACGGACATCATGATTAAATCAAACTTGCCTAACAGTTTCCTTGCTTGTCTGCAATATTGTTTTTGAAATCCAACTAAAATTTCGCAAAAGTGGTTTACTTTCCTATTATTTCCACTTAAATATTTATTTTTAGAATTTTATCTGAATGAACTTTGTTTACAAAGTTACGGATTGTCGAACTCTACTTTCGAAATTTGCTCCTTGAATATCACAGCTTATTAGAAAACGCATTTAATTAACGTCTTAGACAACAGCACGTTGATGACACACGTCCCTGACCAATCTTAGAAGTTAAGCAATGTCGAGCTTGATTAGTACTTGTTTGAGTGAACGGCTCACAATACAGGGTGTCGTTGGCTTTTCTCAATCGCATACTATAATGTTAAATTGTGCCATTTAAATATTTCAATTCATCAAGTATTTTTGGTCTGCCATTACTCGAATTTTCAAAAAAAAGCCTGAATTAAGTTAACGTAATGTGCCTTCTTGATTAAATTTTGAATAAATACTTGATCCCATATTTGTTCTATTTATCTAATATTTATCAAGCGTAGATCACAATTGTTCTGATTGCCTCACAATGTCCTTCTGACATAATACTGGTCCTGTTCATCCCATTCTTGTCCTGCTTTTTCCACACTTCTCATGAGCTTCTAGCGACAACAACAATCTTTAACCACTGGAAATTTTAAATCAATTAGTCCAGTAGTTAAACTTGAAGAAAAAGACAATTTTCTACAACAACATAATAACAAAACGATCCATACGTCCATTTCATGTCCGATTCGCAGTCAGCTTGGCTTCTCTACGGCAGTTCAGGGCCGATAAATTCTTGAAATTGGCCCAGTATTGTGATATGAACTAGAGCTACTAGACATTACAGCGTAATAATGCCCAAAAATACTATAATGGCTTTATTTTTCAGAACGCCGAGATTTGATGTCCTTAAGGAATCAAAATAACAAAAAAATTCCTGTAAAATCATAGATCTTCAAATGCGAGTTTTTAAAAAAAACGACTCTGCCTCCACTCTGAGTTGGCAAAGCGTTCGGTTACGGTGCATCACAATTCGATTCCAATTTCTTTTGAAGTACACATTTGTTGAAAAGTTTAGATACATATGGCTAGTTTGAAATAACACATTTTCAATGCGGAGACAAGAAAATTATCTGGTCCACATGCCTAGCCGTTATTGAGCCAAGCTGTACATTCGCAGATGGGATAACCCGCTAATCTCAATGATAAATTTGGACAGATTTCAAGCAACTCAGTCACGTGAAAAACAACAAATTTACTCTATTTAAAGTATTTTGCATTGAAGCCTTTAATTGTCATAATATAGCACTGGCACTGGCAACTCTGGCATATTTATTAATTCAAGAATATAATTATATAACATTTTCATTCCATCGCCACTTGGTCAACAGCCCATGTATTGTTCAATCAATTAATCGGCTGGCCATATTTTGTACCTATTGCTTCTAATTTTAACGAACAATGTTTCAAATTATTTGAAACGTCAATTTCTTCAACCTTTTTTATCAGTGAACAGAGTACATATTTCGCCTAAGACGACCTTTATCACAATGGAAGAACGTGTGAATAAAACAAAAACGCGGAGTTGTAGCCATTTTAAGTTTTACTGTAGGAGACATTCAAATATATTAATACATAAACTTAAGATTTTGGAAGTTCTACGGGTACTATAAAATCATTTAACGGATTCGTATCATCTTCTCTATCATCGGTTTTCTTTGGCACAAAGAAACTAGAAGTGACCATCGTCATCGGTATCAGATCCTGAAGATCACATGCTGTGCAGGTTGATACATTATTACCTGAATGCAGTACAAAAATGATGTATCTCTGTTAGCTAGTTTAAATGAGTATTGTGCCAGATATTCTTGAACCATGAAGTCATACTAGATATATGGGGCTTTGTTTATTTATTATTTTGGCAAACCCGTGAAACTGAATTTTACATAATAACGTGGTTGTTTGTATTAAATCATCAGAAAAAATGAACTCAAAAGGAAACAATACCGAGGGGAACATCGCCGAGTTGTCTTGGACTTGAAGATTTTCCACTTTTATAATACGCGGACTTAGTATTCCGCCTCTTTTCGGTTTCCGATGATCTTTTGATGTCAGAGGTTGATTTATATCGCTTCGTGCCTCTTGGCTTTGAATAATACAAAAATCACGGTATAAATAGTGAACCTACCCGAATAAGGTATACCGTGTTTTCCCGAAAACAAGACCTACCCTGAAAATAAGACCTAGCCTGAATTTTAGAAATGATTTTAATATAAGCCCTTCCCTTAAAATAAGACTTAGTCAATAACGCGAAACATTTTTTTGACCTAGTCGATAGCAAGAAATCTCTCCTACACGTTTTGGATGATTGCTAATCTATGTTTTGCAGTTATTTTGAATAAAAACGTCTTATTTATAAGTAAATGGATATCGGTTTTCATATTTTTTATATTTGAAAATCCCGTAATTCTCTTCTTTGTAATTTTGTTTTTGATAAATGAAAATAAGCCCTAGTGTTATTTTTTGGAAAAAAATTGAGATAAAATATAGCCGCTATAGTATGGCTGTGGCTTAGCTATAACTTCTGTAGCATGACGTAATCTTAGATATAGTGACTATCCCCCTTCGGGACACCCGATTATCAAACTTAAATGATCAAATACCGACGTGTATTTCGTGTTACTATACACTCTTATTTTCACCGCGTATATTAGATTCCAATTCCATGGACATTCCAATTCCAATCTGCAGATTGAAACAAATATTTCTTCATGAAATTACTCTGAATGACTTTTTAATAATAAATTATGCAGAGAGTGAACTTCTAATAATATTTTTCATATGTTTTGGTAGACGTTTGATTTCCCACCACAAGTCTATTTTAAATTTTGTCTACAGAAGAATAGGCAGGCAGAGTATATTATGCTTTTTAATTTTAAGTTGTGGAAATTGATAGAAATATTTGAATTTGGATAAATAATCGATTGGACTCTGGAATTATAAGATAGTCTAAATCTAAGGAAATTGAAAACAATTTATTTTCGCTCTTTCTCTAATTTAATGAATTTATTTTAAAAATTATCGATACACTAAACAGAAATCTTACATTTGACTTTTTTGAAATATCAATGAGGCAATTCGATATTAATTCAATATTATGTGATTCTTAGTTGTTCATCTATTTTCTATTTGGCCCCATTCGAACCCACTGCTTCTCGATTCCACTTTCCGGGGATATTCAAATAAATATATTCACCTTACTCTCAGAGCTTCTGAAAGTCTGTGATGGATATGACGATTCATATCTACTTGCTGAATCTTGTAAAGTATATTGCGACAGTCGGGTTTTAACACAAGGTGAGGAATATTTTCGAATTGATTTCCAATTATCTCCGACCCGATTGTTCGTATCTGATGGGCGTTGTGGTTTTGATATTGATCTCGTTTGTGGAGGCGTTCTTCCCAAGTACTCCGCCACAGCCGCATTGGATGAAGTTAAAAATAATGATGACGATTTTGGAAGAACTTTGCGGCTCAAATAAATGTCAAGATCTTGTGATAACATCTGATAAAGATCATTTATCTTGATAGAACTTTCTTCCGTAGTTTTATTGAAGATTTTTTTCACAGATGGCGAAGAAACTGTATTTAAAAATTATTTATTGTCTTAGAAATAAGAGGTAAAAATAAGAGATCTTCATTGCAATGTCATACCTTGTGGAGATTTAGAAAGTATTTCGATACATTTTCTTTTCATACGTTCAGTTGCCTTTTGTTCGTCTAATTCAGAACTACCCATCATTCCTTCACCCCCAGCACTGAAAGCATATACATGTATAAACGTAATCGGTTGCAGTAATATAGCAAAAATGGTACTCCCGTAGCTTATGTACCAGGTTAGGGTTAAGCCATAATTTTATTCCGATATTCCTTATTTTAGTTCTATTACGAGTTCGGGGACTGTTTGTGTTAACCAAGTGAATATAACTCCTGCCCATAGGATTCCGTCCCTGTAAAGTAGGCGAACAAAATTTGTTACCTCCATATTGGTACACATACTTCTGGAGCGCCACAAAAATTTAAACATTTTTCACAATTCCGACTAATAAGCTATAATAAACATTCTTTATTAATTTCCTTCTGTGAAGCGTTTTAGTTGGTTTACCGAACTGACATGTAATATATATAAAGTATATATATATCGTGGAGAAAAAAGAAGTTATATCAACAGATTATCTCAATGAAAATTTAACCTTTTGGTCACTTCTAGCCTTTCAATATAATCTCCAATATGATTGTCTTGATCACCCTTTGTATTCCTGGGTGTTTTTTTGCCTTTTGAAGAATTCGCATTAATTTGTAAATCACCCTATAAACAAATGACAAATGCATCTATGTGTGCCTGAGTCTGAGCAACTGATGGAAAGACCTCAGGCTTTAAATTTTGCATGTAATTCATCCAGGGCCGGATTTAGTCAAGACGACGCTCAATCGAAGGGTCTAGGTTAGGCCATTTTAAAGCCCATTAATGTCGTCGAAATTTTCGGAGAAACTATTTGGACGACATATGGGCGTTTGACGGTAATATGAACATGTATTATGGCGTCCTATATAATTCGACAATAGACGTAACAAAACGTCATTCCCCCAGAAAACCCGAAGTCATAATTCTCGTTTCTACTCGTGAGAGGCATGGGAAAGTAGGCAATGGCCGAATAGCTAATAATTAAAACATTGATAATATTTTCAAATAAACGGGTCTAAGATGAAAGAATATTCGAAAATAGTAAAAAATATAATAATTCTTTGATTCGTTGTCGCTTAGATGAAATAGTATATCTATATACATGTATATGTATATCGATACTTTTTATCATGTTTAAAAAATAAAGGCATTATTGAAACTGTTCAATTAAACTAAATTCGTATATTTATTTTGTTTTTGAAGTTTAAATGAATTTGTCTTAATTTGAAAAACTGGGGTACAGTTTTTCAAATTTAGACAAATTCATTTATTCAACCATATTTAATTTGCTAACCTTTTTAACGAAAAATGTTTGCGACGAGAATCATTAACCTAAGTAAAACTACATAAACAAATATTAGATTTAAAACCGGTTTAATTCTGGAACAAACCTTTGAATCTAAAAAAAGACTCAAAAGGGAATGATAAATAGTTCGGTACTTAACGATTGAGTCTCTTGAGAAATTTTAAGCTATCTTGCCTAATAGTATACCCGGCCCAGATTACACCGAAAAGTCAAGGGGACATAGCTCTTTCGATGGGGCAGTTACTGAGTGAATACAAAAAAAAACTATATATATTGAAAAATAACTACTATACAACTGATGTAATACTAAATTAGAGCTTGTATCGAAACCTTTATAAATTTGGCTAAATAGGCAAAAAAGCATAAATAAAAAAGACACATACAGTCGCTGTTGATTTCTTCGAGTGTTGATTTTCTCTTGCGCTGATTAATCTGGGCTTGCACGATTTGCGTTTGCAAACATTGGACGGCAAAGGCTTTTTCGTTGTTCGTATTAACTTTTTTATTGGTGCAGTAGAGCCGGAACACATTTTCCAGTCTAAAAACACAAAACTATATTATAAAGTAAATTAAACACTCATCGTTAACTATTGGCTCGTATATCCACGCTACGTGAGTTGAATAACAATAGAACAAGAGCCATTTTGCCAGTTGTCAAGTTTGGGCATTTCATTTACCCCAATCGTGTGTTTATATCACCATGTCGAGATTTAATGTAAACACGTTTTTGCGCATGTGTACGTGTGTTTATTTACCGTCACTAACATCATAAAAATCTCATACTTTCTGCAATTCCTTTTGCATTTAACGTTATCACGGATGGTGAAAGACTAACAATTGAGTTTGCTGACTTGGTTGATTTGATTGGAACGTGAGACGAACTAAACTCTGTGGGGGTATGCGATTTTGTCATCTTCGGTTGATCGTCTATCCAGGTGTTGTGTTTGATGCTTGTGGGATCTAAAAAAAGCATTTCAGCATAAACTAACTTGTAGAACTAAAGAACGGTTGCCATATTTATGTACGCACCTGCAAATCTTTCTCTAATATTTACAACGGGAGTATCACCACAAACTGATGTCATAGAATTGTTATTATTTATAATTAAATCGGTGATTTCCTCTTTATGAAGAGTTGACTTCTGCAATAATATAAAATATTTCTGTTATTACATATCAACAGTTTACGACGCTGTTAAATAAGAAATAACATCGGATTGCTTACATTGTTTTCAGGTTTTTCAACATTGGTAAAATTTTGTATTTTGACTTTTATCGAGCGTGAGCAAGATTTTGGGCGATTTTCGGCTGCTGATCTAAAAGCAAGTTTGTTTGTAAACTTTCCACGCGTATAACAATACTTTCTCGAAGAGAAAGAATAACGGAAATCGATCAATTTTTAATACATGTTTTATATTTTTTTCCTCATAAAATAAATTACTTTATTCAGTATGAAATTTTAAAAATTATATATATTAGCAATGCATACTGCACCAGCCGCACATACTCAATAGCATGGAACACTTTCATCTCCCTATCCTCATTAGTAAGAAATAGTAACCTAGTAACCTTTTCCCTTTACCCTCTCTTGGTATGAAAGCACTGGAACATCTACGACCGATTGGAATCTTTTGTGTTCTCACTGAAATCTTCTCAACCGGTTTCATTTTTTGTATTTTTACGGTATCTTCTACTGTCCTAGCAGAGAACGAAAGATGTGATCTTGGCGAAATATTTGAAGAGCATTTGTTTTTTGACTGATACAAATTGCGCGCCACTGCCATGTTGTACGATGTAGCGTTGCCAAGTGGTCGCATCTAATTATTAGAAATAAAATGACAATATCCATTTAAAATGATATGACTGATCGTGAGATATTTGTATTGAAATTTAGTTAAACTTACAGTATTATTGGTGAACGTTCTTGGTGAAATTTCACTTCTCACAACCGGAATTGCATTAGTGTTGTCGCGGTAGTCAACACTCGGTTGAAGTTTGTAAGTTTGTTCATGAAGTGCGCTGTGATAACAACATATAGTACCAAGTCAATTTATCATGAAGAAATAAAAACCGTTGGAAACAGGATTGCTCCACATCGCAAGAACACCATCAAATTTAACTGTATATTTTAAATAAAATGCAAATCTGTTTGAAGTTTTTTTAATATCATTTCAGCATCATAGAATCATTAGAAGATGAGAAAAAAACTACAACTACTGTGAATATCCGCATATCCAAGAAATAAAATCAAAATAGATACTTTATTTTATATAATACATGATACAAAACGAATTTCATTCTTAAAATGCGTCATTGATCAAAGGCTAGGTTGGATCGCTCTGTCGTGTCGAGATAACTGTACTTGTTCCATTTTAGGAATGGCAAGTGTACGTGATTAGATGTGAAACATGTCACCATCCTCTTCTTTCGTTCAATAAAAATATGGCGATACATTCAATGATTCATAGCTCTTAGCACCTCATTGGATAATCCAAACCAGATTTTAAGTGAGTTTACAGCTTTCCAATTTCAATCATGCATGCCACATGCCAATCCCGTATGAAAATGTTTGCAAACCTCTGACAGCGCCTATGCTTGGTTGTCTTTCTAAAATCAACACGCTTTCCTTCGATATATGAGTGAAGGCTAAACTTGACGTCACCACAACCATCCAAGTCATTCAGAGCATGATTATTTGGGCACGAAGAACGAGTCGTTTTCATCGCTGGTATTGGCGTCTTCTGAATATTAGAGAAAGTTGACGAGATTAGACACGTAATTGTATATGGATAGGATGACTAAGTCAAATACTAAAACTTAAATCCAATATAGAATATATTCTTACTGTTTTGTGTCTGCTGTCACATTCATCTTTCATTGCAAGATAATCATCCATCATCAAATTAGCCATTGCTGAAAACTCATCTACTCTGTATTCATGGACTCGAGCCTGCAACTGGCTGAGCTCAACTTTAAATATACGAGACAGCTTTTGAAGAACCTAGTTTGTAAAATGTTATATTATATTACGTGAAAATAACAACAAAATATCTTGGTGATGAACATAACATATTTCTACTAGTTAATTTGTTGATAACCCCCAGCACCAAGCAAACATTCGCACACTCACAACATTTCGAAGAATATTGTTACGCGGCGGTGGATTATGGTAAGTATGATCTGGTTCCTTCGCCATCCATTCATGAGTCTCAATCTCCAAAAGACTTGCTCGTCTATCCCAACGATATTCCAGCATTCTACAGATCAAATCCTGGCATTCTTAAGAGTAGATAATGTATAAAAAGTAGTTTGCAAAAGGTAGGTGAAAAAATGTAGTTTATATATATGGTATACTCGACCGTGACGACAGATTCACGGAATCGTTATTATTTCTTGTTAATTATTCATTATATATATATATATATATATATAATCCAGTTTAGATTTAGCTTTTATTTATACAAAAAAAATATTGAATGAAGTGAGACAGATAAAGATTCCAGATGCTACATATTCAACTGTAATATAAAATTTATAAATCATCTTAAGGTTATTCTTGAAATAATTTGAAACTCGTACCTGGAGATATTGTCTTCCAGTCACGCGGAGGCTGGAAGTTATTGGGAGTTTCTTTTCCCGGAAAAGGATGAGCTCCGTTCAACATGAAGAATGTTAGGACGCCCCTAAAGCGACAAAGATTTTAGGGGAGACAAATAGTTTATTTAATATATACATTTACCTTCAATTTCCAGTTTTTTCAACATATTTGTAGACTAGTTTTAGGGTTTTCGACATATAACAACAGGTGAACATAAATGTTTAGTTTTGACAAGCCAGACTGCATGGACAATAATTTAAAAGCTTCTGCGCATTCAAATTTGTCGGTGACCGTACATTTGAACCCATGTGTATATCCGCGGGTTCAATCTATATGCGGGCGATAAAACCCATAGGTTAGGGTTAGTATGCTTCAAATATCCGTGAAACAAAAATAATTTCCATAGGTGCAATAGTATGCAGGTGCAATTGTCGTGGGTTCAAATGTACGTGGGTTCAAATGTGATGAAACCGAATTTGCCTACTTATAGGAATCGCTTAGAGTTATTTTAGACTCAGAATAGAGTTGTCAAAGTCCATATATTGTAAAGTTTAGAATCGTATGCAGAATCAAGTCACACAAGCAAATTTAGTTAACAATCTGTCTTTTTGAGAGATCACACTGCCTGGGAATATGAAATTATATGGATAGCCTACCTTATTCTGCGCAGTGCGTTTAGTGAATACAATTCGCATTCATCAAAAGATATTGTAATTCATCTGCGGACAATACTTTGCTACAACTTAGCACGATATTTGTGCCAAAATTAAAACTTAAAAGTTTTGTTCAGATCAGAAATTTATATATAAATTGTGCGCAGCCATTGTGCATAACCATCAATTTCGTAGTCTTATTGTTTCCGTGGAGAGTAATTTGAAATACCAGTATAATATATATATAGGTATAATAACTGATATCGATAATTTTTTAAATCCATCTCAATGTTTAAAACTCACAGATTCAAAATCATTCTATGGATTACATTTTTTCTTATATAAAAATATTATTATTGTCTTATTTTATGGCATTCATCAATTAGATGAACTTGCAAGATATAATCTCATTGACTGAGATTTTTTACTTACAAAGACCATATATCAATAGCCATCGGATTAAAACAGTCATCTTCGGAAGACAACTCCGGTGCATTGTTAAACGAGTGAATTTTCATAGGACGACTATGTTTTGCTGATTCATGGCGGCAATTGTAAGCATATGAGAATTCTGTAAAAATATGAAATTGAGGAATTGCATCAAACAAGACTTTGAACATGCAACATTTCAAATTAATCAAACGCCCAAATCGTCCTCGCCAATTATACAGCTGAGACGGTGTATTTGGGTTTATGTTCATGAAAACCAATAAAATTTAATTCATAATATAAGAATTATGGATAGTCTAACTATTCGCTATTTAGACTCGTGTCTTATTCTGATTGAATTACGGAAATACGGTCAAAATATGGATCAAGAAATAAAACAAACTACACAACAATACCAGAAATCTTGAGATATTTTCTTTTATCGTCTAATAATATGGCAGAAGGGTGAAGATTTCTGAAATTGCAACATTAGGTAAAAGTTATATCTATCCATATATATATTTATAAATAAAGAAGCAAAGTCATACACACGTACTCAGGAGCAAAAATGGTGATCTCTAGGCGAAGTTACATGAAACCACTGGAGTGGCAAGAGCTATACCGATAACTTAAAGATTTTATCGGTCAGTTACGCTGTAAAATACTTAACAAACAATAATAGCAAGATTTCTATAAATCGTTAATATAGTAAATAATTAGGAAGAAATGCCATACAGTGAAGATATAATCTATCTTGCAAAAACATCGTTTGCGTGTTATTACAAAAAAACTTATTTCCTTCATTACTTTTTTGCTAATGTGCTAGGAGTTGCTAATACGAGCTATGAATCTGAAGCTACCTATGTACAACTCCTCTGTCGTGAAGATGACAGAGCGCAGATACCAGTTGGCGAAGCCAATATTTTGTCATTTCCTCTGATAAATATCCTGGATCCAACCTGAAATGTACATAGGGAAGCATAATGACCGTTTACTGTGAACTATGACTTTGAATTACACTATTTAATTGTTTGTATATAGAACTTGCTATCTTTTAATGTCAGTATTTTTACAACAGTGTTGATAATGTACCTTATATAGGTTTTAGCTGCCATTACCTTCTTTTCCTTTTGTTAATGTCATGCGGAATTTTAGTCCTATGATTCCTCTCTAAAATATTCGGAAATGCCCATCGATTCTCCTAAGAATGTACTGAATCGGGCAGCACGTCAGAGTTCGGCGCTCCAGAAGTATGTGTAACAATATTGGGGTAACTAATTTTTCTCGCCTATCTTACATTAAGTTGTGTAAAGAGACTGAAACCTATGGGCAGGGGTTATATTCACTTGGCTAACACAGACAGTCCCCAAACTCGTAATAGAACTAAAATGAGAAAAATCGGATTAAAATTATGACCTAACCCTAACCTGGTACGCACACTACGGGAATACCGAAAGTTCAATAAAATAGACGTGCTAGTTAAATTACTTCACATATTGCTCCAGGGTCCCTCCTGCAGCCAATTCCAACACGATTGCATATAATCTTCTTTCTATCTGTTACAAAAAGAAATAAGATATTATTTCAAAGTACGGTTCAAAAGAAAAACAAATCGTGTTATTCACCTGCAGTATTTCGTATAGTCGTATTACATGAGGATGTCGAACTTGCGATAGTATTCGTGCAACATGATGTAATTTTTCAATTCCTTCATTATTACATTTATCTTTCAGTGCCGCTATTTTGACAACCACCTTCGCATTATTACAGGTTTCGCGTCAAATGAAAATAAATGAATAAATGCAAAAGTAAACACAAAAAACTGTGTTGAGATTATCGCTTTGACCAAGAAATTATGATTTGATGTTAGTTGGTTCGGGGACGTTTGGGAATAACGCATACGGGAAATGTATATTATCAATATTGCGTCAAGTCTACAATACATTAGTTTAAGTTTCATTGACTGCTGTCAGAGTATTCACAATATTACTTTTCGAATGCTCGTGGTTAGCTACAAGAAGAATGAATTTCTATGATTCAGATAATTGCATCCATTAGAGTCCGGAAAAAATACAAATATGCAAGGAGTTTTACAACAATAAAAAAATACTTGAGCAATATATACACTGATGAATGTTTCCAAGTAAATGCGAAGTCACCTATAGTGCAGTATCACAGTGGTTCAAAATTATCAAATTAAATGAAAATTTGATTAACTTAACGCCTTTTTCATTTTATTTGCAAATTTAGACCCTGATTCATTACTTTTAAAAGTTCGAAACAGGGTTAAAAAAATTGACTTCGCGCAGTTCGAATATATGACTCCATCGACTTCACAGCCGTGGTCTTCATCTCTATCTATCAAAACAATGGTCACACACAAACTAAATTCCAACCTTCGATCTCGTAATTTGATGCAGGGCCAGAAACGTTTTAGTGTCTTCACCGTATCCAATGTTGACATTGTCCAAACAATACCTCCCGATATAATTTACATTTGTTTTTTTCTCCTTATCCCGTTTGCTCCGTTTTGGACCCATCTTGGTACATCACTTCCTAATAACAAATACATTTCATTTGTGAAATTCAATTTGGCGTGTTCTATTGTGACGTCATACTAACGCACGTTCATTCTGAAATAGGGTACTGCTACTCACTCAATCATTGATATCGCAGCCGCAGCGGCCATGACTTCGATTCTGACAGTTTCCGACTATCAAAAACATTTTTCTTACGCTCATCATTCGTCACAAATCTGTGTTTTTTTGTGTCCATGCAGATTCCGGAATCACAGAGTTGAATATGTATCATCTGAAATCTTTATCTGTCTCACTTCATTGAACATTTTTTTTTGTATAAACAAAAGCATCTGAACTGGATTATATATATATATATATATAATGAACAAGAGAGCTACGCCCAAATATATGGACACGTCTGTTCGCAGTACAGTACGGTTTACCGTACCGTCAGATCACAGTCTACAAATGTATTCACACCAAGCGAAGAAGTACAGTAGGACACAAAATGGCGTCCGAGGTCGCAGACGTTTAATGACGTAATAGCAAACAAAAACAAATCTCACAGAGCTAACAGAAATATTTAAATGAATAAAAGTAATAGCCTTCTGGGGAAAATTTTTATCTTCAACCACTGAAAATTTCAAAGCAATTGGTTCAGTATTCGAAGAGAAAAGCGGTTTTTTATTATTTCCACTAGGTGTGTTATTCTGTGTCAAACAACAAGAACAAGAACAACATAATATTGAAACGATCGTTATTTCCACTACGTGTCCAATAATTAACAAGAAATAATCACATATGATGGAAATAAAACTCTCTCCCAATAAAACTCCCTACAATTCAACAAACTCCAAAATTTTGGTTTTAGCAGGTAATTTCTTCATGTGAGTGATTGGTATACTATAATGCAGGGGTGCACAACTCAAATGAGGATACGTGCCAAATTTTTCAAAATAATCTTTTCGCGTGCCAGGCACAATTGTGGTATTGTAAATAAACTCCAGTAAAACAAACAAATTGCAATAACAATACATAATAACGAATATCTATTTATTGATACAATTTAATTGTCCTGAAAAAAAACTGCTGATTTTGATATAAACGTGATATTTTAATGTATATCATAAATATTTTTTTTTTTTACAAAACCGTTCGCGTGCCACGTTTGAGCGTATGGCGTGCCAAATTTGACACGCGTGCCTCGTGTTGTGCACCTCTGCTATAATGTATAATCTATGATCATGTGATCCATACTTGGTTGAGTAATCGAAATTACATCTTCCGAATTTTCACATGATCGTTAGAGATGTGCATATATTCGACTTTTGCTTAACTGTTTGTTACTAGCTGTTGATTTCAATTTCAACTGTTCCTTTTAACTGTTACTTTTTATTCGTTTACAGCCAGGACTGTAGAGATTGAAATAATATTTTCATAATAATATTAAAACACTTTTGTTCTAAAATATTAACTAGTCCGCCCTTGTGGGGCGGTACTAATCCAGCAATTTTTAATTCACCAACAAATTGGCTCGATATATATACTACTTGATAACTTGTCAAGTAAGAAGAAAGGTTTTAGGATTAAGAGTTGATTGTATTCTATTTTGTTCGAAAACTACTTTAATTAAGGTGTTGCAACGCTAATTCATTTACAGTGAAGATGATCGCAACCTCAAGAGTGTGTGATATTGTTATACTGTCGTTTATTAAATCAGAGGATCTAAGATTGTAGATTACGGTACTTATTTACTGAAATCGGCAACTCGACAGACGATAAACAGCAAAAGGCACAATTAAAAAGCAGCAAATGACGCGTAATCGGAGTCCCATAATGCAAATTAGAACTCGGATGCCCCCTAATAATAACAACATAAACCAAGGGTCTGTGACACATCCGGAGTTTGACGTCGTGAGACTGGTTGTTGCGTCAACCTCTGTTCACGGGCACAACCATCTACAGTTTGTAAAAATACCGTGGTCTCTTGACGCCTGTCTATCACCACCCCATTTAACTATAGAAAAAGCGGAGTCTAACTCTTGTCCTCCGTACCCTTTAAACGTACTTTATCTCCCCTTGATTCCCAGATGTCACAATAATATATGCGTTGTTGATTGTCCATATATTTCAAAGTTCCAAAATGAAAGTATTCCAAGAAACAAATATTGAAATACACTAAACCATGATGCAGTATCAGATTGATGACCAAATTAAGGAGCCGAAAAAGTAATATCACAAGCACACAACTTCAGAGTATATAAATGTCATCAAATTTTTCATATAAAACATCGCATGAAAACATCATATAGGGAATGAATCAAACCACGATCTAATATCAGGCAAATAACATGCAGTGCGATATTAGCTATAAATAGTTGAAAGTGTTGAAATCCACAGTAACCATCATCATGAAGTCGCTAAATTCTGTACAATAACATACAGTAACTCACAAACAAGAATATCGGTCAGAGACCGAAGACTTATCGATCGAAAGTTAGGGGATCCCCCAAAACAGCGCTCTTACTCCATAGTGACACCTTGTGTCCCATCACTAATTAATTAATAACTCGCTAATTATACGGCATAATCCGCCCAAAATCAATAGGCTTCTGGTCCGAGATAAGATGAATGCACATGCAAAATCTGGAGCAGATTCAATCTTGCTTTCGTGATATATCGCGTGCATCTGACAGACAAACGGACAGACAAATACCTATCAACATACTTACCGATTAAAATCGATAAGTAATAATATGCTTACTGTATATAAACTGGACTGGAGAGATAGGGATATTCAGAGAAAAATTTATAAAATCAAAAAAAAACTTTGATTCTTAAAATGCATACACTGCATAGAAGCTAATTGAAAATCAAAAAATATATAAACTATGTACAAAGTCAAAATTAATAACCTGAGCCCAATGGTGCATAATTAAATTATCAAGTTTTGCATAACAAATAATAATTGGACGATATGTGAAAAGTCACATTTAAAAAAAATCTATAAAATAATTCTAGTAAAGTACAAATAACATGAAGGCAGCAGTCAGTCTATCTTACCCAGGAGATGGAATAAAAGTCCTATTTTGTGTTTCAAATTTGATTGATGACAAACAAACCTATTCAAAATCAAGTCTCTGAACATCTACATGAAAAAAACATAGAAATTCATTGATCAGAATGGGTTAATAATAGCATGAACATCATTTAAACACAAAGTGAAAGCTTAATGTAATAAAGATGTAGAGAGGTATAAAAGTATCAATACAAAGGAAATCGAAGAAACTGACTACCAGTAGTTCATAAATTTCATTAAACATAAATTACAGCCCAAAATTCGAGCTCTGTGTTATGAAGAAACTAATCTCAATCTTCCATGTCATTCAGCATAATCCTTCTTTTCTCTTTAACTTTTTTCATATCTTCCGCTATGATTGGTATATTGGCATCACAAAATGTTACAAATGAACTATTGGAACCAGCGTCGAATGTCGTTTCGAATGGATGACTCTATAGACATAATGGATATCAAAACTTACTGATTCGTAATAATACCTGGTAAAACTTTTGCAAAAATTCAAAGGTCTCCATCCTGTTTAGTTTTTAAACCTACGGTAATTAAATAAAAGGTATTTAACTTGCTGTATCACTATTCGACAATTGCAGTATACCTTTTGTGAAGACCACTGAAATCCATGTCCAAATGAAAGAATGAGATCTTTTTCTTTCTGTGGACCTAAAAACAAATGAAGCAGATTTCACTTTAAAGGCTCAATGTATATTATATTAAGATAAGCAAAGGTATTTAAGATCATTAGACTGTTTACAAGTTCGAAGTACTATATCTGACTCAATCAAAATTAGTCACATCTGATATTTATACCTTCGCAGAGTTTTGCAGGTGAATACAAACCTATAGTAAAACTTAATTATTTTGAAAGTCTGTGTTTGGCCTTAGGCCACAATAATCTGAATGTATATGTACGTGTCTACCAGTACCAGTGCTGCCAAATCGTGTTTCACAACACCATGATATTTGTATTTCACTCAAATCTGGATAAGCATACGCATCTGGAAGTATGCAAATACTAAGAAGGCTTTTAAGAAAATTCTTAAGCCTCACGAATGCCACTATTAAGCATCACCTACAAATACACATGACTTTCCACCGAGCTAGTATATAAGATAATCCAATTCAATACATTAATGCAGAATTTCTCATACAGTTTTCTCATACATAAGATACTAACAGCTCCAACTATCTTACATATTCCAAACCTGACCTGGCAAATAAGACAATTTCCACACTGGTCCTGTGTGTTGATGAATCACAGAGATCAAATACGGAGAATTTGGCAAGTTATGTCCCAGAGATACACAATCAAATAGCAAAATATGCCCTGTTGTCAGGCCAACATACAAAACAGCTCTGGCCTTGTCTGCGAGAATTGAAGTGATTGCAAAAGATATCCCGAAGAACTTGAAAAATAGGTAATAATGCATTACTGGTTGTATTCATTGGCAAGATATTTGGAATTGGAGAGAGAAGCTTGTGGATCCCGATAGTATGATTCTTGATGATTTCCATTGAAAATTTCTTTATTAATCTATTCTGCAGAAAGTATTTGCATAAAAAAACTCAAATCTGTAAGACATTATTGAATGATGCACACCCAAACTCGGGAGTTAGAATGTCAGATAAGTTCATGCTCGTTTGAATCAATCTATTTAGAAAATATCACACACACACTCACATCATTATTATTTTGCAGTATATTTTCCAAGTCCATATTGCACACAGGAAACACAGAATCTTCGTTCCAAATCAAAATATGAGATAAATACATTTGAACTTGATGCATAAAGAATTCCATTGCATATAGAAATATGCTTTATGCCAGATTTTCCAGAGTGTGATTTTGGAATTAATTTCATTTTCTTAATAACGAGAGAACCTGAAGAAAGGCAATTGAACATTTGAAAAAACCATTTAGGAGAGAAGATTATTTTGTTAATCTGAGTTCTGTAATCTTAAGGTCCACCTAAAACCACCAAGTTATTTCCAAAATTAAAAAAATCATCTCCGATTACTTAGCAGTAAATACATGTAAGTATTCACTCTTTGAGAAAAATGTAATATAATGCAAAATATAGGGTTTGGTAACTACGAAACAGCTTGCATCAAGATGGGGCCGGAAGGAATTTCCAGAACTACTGACCCATCCACCTTCTCCCAATAACCCAAAAACACTACATAAATGATTCTATGATTCTTCTCAACATAAAATAGTAAAACAACCAACCTTTTTTCTTTATCTTTATACATACAATATGGCGTACGCAACATGCATATAGCAACCCATCATCACCAGATGTTAAGCACTGTACAATTCTTGAATTACAATATAAAGATAAATCCAATATGGAGTGTGGTCTTCTGCATTGTTGGTTGATTATCTGTTATAAGATGTAAATCACAGATGCATTGTTGAAATGAAATGCAATTTGAGAAAAAATTTCTTACTTTAATCTGTATGTATAATGTTTCTTTTCAGTATGATAAAAAAATAAACCATCCTTTACTTGTTGGCATAACTGTCACCCAACTTGGTGAGCCTTACCCAATCAGAAATATTTGCATTTTCCAACTCCATAACACAGCGAAGCGAAGGAATATGATATTTTCAGTAATGTACTTTTTCAAATAATACATACCAATAACAAAGTAACAAAATTTCCTAAAAAGACTATTTTATATCTGAGAGTATAGTAAAATGTTCAACTTTATCTTCAATTTTGAGTATTAGAGGTGAGACACTGAGATTCATCCTAGAAAAGAATTCAGTAAAGAATTCAAAGTATTCAGTCATCATACTCGTTGGCTACTGTAAGCTCTCATCAGTCACTGTTCACTGCCTCCTCATAGCTGTTTTTGGTGAACCGCCCTAAAGTCTTGCAGCAATCGTGATGCACGATTCACAACAATAATTCTATATCTGTTACTTTCGAATAAGTGCGGTACTGGAAAAAATAGGAATTACTGTACCTGCTCTAGAGTGAACAAATTGATGCAGCCATTACTGAGGCCAAGAGCAACAAAAGAATCATCAGCATAATTAAGTAAATGAAGGCATTCAATTCTGTTCCAAAGATTTGACAAAACAAAAATGGAATTTTGCTCTGTAATAAGCATCAATTTTCCCTGAAAAACAAAACATATTCTTGTCAGGGAATGAGTCGAAGAAGTAGATTGATTTTCTTAGCATCTTGTTTAATTCATACCAAAAATTGGTTGTTTTATGTCCTGCAAAGTAGTTCTAAATATTAGAATATAACTTTTAGCATATAACTATTTCAGCTTATTCTAACCATTCTTTGAAATTTTTAGAAACCAGACGACGAATAATAGAAATGCTCACATCTGCTGTTCCGGCTAAAAACTTCAGTGTTCGAGTATCTCCCGAATTGGGATTCTTGTTAATCATGCCTTGTCCATCAGGAATTAGTAGAAGAGATGTTATATTTCTTCCATCAATTTGATATGTAGTTTGCTCCATTAAATTCACAGAACCTGCCACAACTGATGTCACTTTCACACTGCCAATGAAAAATTCAACTTGGATAAAATTTATACATGAGGCATCGCAGTTTTTTGCTTTACTACAATCTAAGTACCACAGTGCCATCAATATTACGAATAATACAATATATTTGTTACATGCAAAGATAAATAAAATAAAACAGAATCACATCATTCACATGTCATAAAACCAAATTACTTTTTTACAAATTGTTGACAATGGATATCAGACTCATTTAATCTATTGGATAACAAAATTTTGAAAGCCTATAATTCCTTCAACAATAATCTTTTAACAACCTGTTCTTTGATCTATCATCTTCAAGATGCACCAAATTTCCAGAAGATTGTGAAGACAAAATCTAGAATGAAAGAAAATTGTTTTTAGAGGTTTTCACAACCTGGATTCAGGTCAAAATCTCATAATTAGCTTTGATGCTACATCTCACCTTGATATGACACACTGCTTCATCTATTGACTGTTGATCTAAAAATAGATAGCACATACATGATAATTACTGTTTAATGAGGATTTTAGTAAATTGAATCTGAAGATACTGAGGGATTCCAGCAATCTAAAACCGCTAATACAATAATGAAAAATGCAAAGCAAGGTATATTCTCTTGCAAGTTGCAAGGCATCGGTTTAACCATATATGCGCCATGAGATATTTGTTGCAATTATTATCCAAATTATTACCTGATGATGTGACTTGATATTGAGATACAGCTGCAACATTTGCATTTCCGATGTTGATGCGATTTCTAAATGTAACAAGTTGAGATTATCTACAATTCAAGTTATTTTATGCCTGTAAAGCTTAAATATGCCTTGTTGCTGCAAATTTTAACCAATTTTCAAAAAATGCAGCAATGTGTAATAATTGAATAATTTGAGACAATTTGTTGTTATATGCTATATCAAAACATGAAGTCCTAGAGTTTGATCTGTACATTAAACAAGGCTGTGAACTCAGGAAAAATTTATTCTCAACTCCAAAGTCATTTAAAAACAACCTAGGGTACGACTTCGACTGACCATTTTGATTCAGACTTCCGGTTGTAGTACATTTTGAGCTCTGACCACCCAAAATAAATATTTTTGATAAAGAGAACATGCCTTCTTCAATTGGCTGAATGCTTTTCAACCTCATGCTATTTGAGTTTTAACTTTGATTGATACCATTATAAAAAATTCTGCAATTTCTGCATGATATTTAGATCTAAAATTTAACTTAAAACACAATTCTCTTAATCTAATATGAAGCAACACCTGTAACAACAAATCTCCGGATGCCGTATAGAATCGAGCAATTGTTGAGCTGTTGGTCGATCTTCTGGATTTCTTTTTAAACATCTCGATATTATTGACTGCATGTGAGGCCACCGAAGATTTACATCGAATGTTGTCAATGAGGAAGGAATAACACCCTAAAACATTAGAATGAATTGAAAGTATATCCATATTGAACAGTTCTACATGAACAAATGTGGATCAGATATCAAAAGATGTACAAGGTTCAAAGTGAACATAAAAAAAAAATTTTGAAAATGTGTTTTCAGGTTTTTCGAACTGGGACCACGTCCCCCCTAGAAGGCCGCAGAATATTTCTCTGGGGTACATGCGCAGGTATCATTTGCAATCGACAACATTAATTTTAGGTGAATTTCTGCAATTTGTTAATTCTTTATCTGTAACACATTTATTCTTTTAATTTCATCTGTTGGGTTTTTATTAACAAGGGCACAAAAGAAGAGACAACTTATGGCTTAAATTCCAAATAATCTATTTTCATACAATGAAACAAAGAAATTGTTTGCATATTTATTATCGCATTGATAATAAATATAATAACAGGTAAAGTAAAATTTTACCTGATAATAGATATATCTATGAATATATATAAGCATTTTTTGATTCCAAAAACGTTTCAGGTAAAACCATCAATAAGAGCAATGATGTTTTACAAGATATAACCACCAATATCCGTGTGGTAGAAGGAAAAAACTTTCGGTGCTCCCGAAGTATGCGAACCAAGATGGCGGACATCGGAACGTAACATGGGTAACAGGTTAGGGTTAGGCCATAATTTTTTTCCAATTTTCCTTATTTTAGTCCTATTATCAGTTCGAAGACTAGCCAAGCGCCTCCCGTAGTATTTATACCTAAAATTATGGCCTAACCCTAACCTAGTAGACATATTACATTCCGATGTCCGCCATCTTGGTTCGCATACTTCGGGAGCCCGTAATTTTCTACCTACTGATTCGAAGACTACTTGCCTTTAAAATTGCTTCATCTGGTACATTCGAAGGCAAAGACATCCCTTGTATTGTACATGCTTGAAGAAACCAGGGTGTTCTACATACACATACTTCATATGCAACTAATCCAAATGAGAAGATATCACATTTATTAGTATAAGGAATTATTCTCCAAATACCATTTCCTGCAAAACGAAAAAATGAATGTAAACAAAGAATAATTGAGTGCTGATATACTCATATTGCATTGTTATTGTTCAGTTCAGGCCACATTAAAGCTTCAGGGCTACTTATTCGTGACCCGCAAAGGCACGAATAAAATTTAAAAAAAAATGGTAAAATATCAGTTATAAAAATTTATAAAGCCAGCCCTAAATTGATCTAGCAATAACTAAACTATTATAATGTACCGTTGGGCAATCAGGGCTGCAATCGCTCATATTCAAACTGATAATTACCAGACCGATATGGTAATTTTCCAAACCCCTAATCTTGGACGCATGTCTGCCCCGATGTATACTGTTATTCAGCTATTCATTGGCTCTGACATCGTTTATGACATAACAATGCAATTGATGTTCATTTCTCGCAACGTCTCGTCTCTTTCGGAAATGCATCTGTTTTAGGAATTATACAAGAACTGGGTGCTACTTTGCCTTTTATAAGTTTCTCGCCTACAATGCCGTTGAAAGAAAAATCTTTCAGATTTGAAATAAAAACCCAGAAATCTGAAATAACAATGGGGCAGTATAAAAGCGCATTAATGTGGTTGAAAGCTGATCGAAAAATATAACACTATCATAGTGGAATTCCCTCCAAATTGCTTGGAACCGTAAAATAATTTGCCGCATCATCCTAAACGTTTTTGGTAATTCATACGCTTGTTTTCGTACTCTAATTTCATGAAATAGAGTGCCAATAGGGATGGCCATTTCCGAATACTAAACTATTCCGAATACATTCTAAAATAATGTTTTCGAATCTGAAATTCCGAATACATTCTAAAATGAAATAACACATTTTTGTTTTAGTTATTAAAATCAGTAAAATAGGATAAGCTTAAATATAAATATCAGAATAAGCCACAAACCACAGTATATGTACACAAAGTAATCGATAGTTTATAGCTACCAATAAAAATAATAGCAACTTGTGACACAGTCAGTTTATTAAATTGTACACTTAGTACAAATGACCTTATGAAAAGATAGCCAAGGAGTTGTCTGACGCTTTCTATCATTGGTACCATGATATTACGATAATAGTCAAGTCTATTGACAAAAATACTACTTGTATTCAGATAATTGTGTATATTTTCTAAGAGTAATAAAATGCATTGGCAATACAGGCAACTGGAGCAAGCAACAACAATCGAATATCCATTATGCCTTTACAAATTCTAATATTTAGACCGAGAGTATTCTACTACCTACCAGTATATTTGGATATTAATTTATGTGAACCATATTGTTATTATGTGTAGCATATCGTTATGTCTGAAATTAGCAATAAGGTTGGAGGATAGATGACCACCATTGCCAGGCGCGCAGCCAGGATTTTCAAAATCGGAAACTCCCATTGCCGCCTGTAACAGCCACCGCCATTCCGCGCTCGTTTCAGCGTATAATGATCATCCTGTCACATAAGATATTCAATCCACGACAACTACAGATTCTAAAATATCGTTATATATTAATTTTATGAGTCCAACGTAACTCGCGGTTGCTTCTTCTAACGTCAAAATAAAAACATTACTATTCGGTCGACAGCGATCTTTTGCCTAAAATAACGAGATAACCCGCCTGATGTATTTAATTTTAATACGTATTTTTGCAAATCTCACCAACTCGTTATCGCCGTTAAAAAAATCTCAACTGATATCAAATCCTGTAGAGTACAAATTCATTTCATACAATGAATATACATATAAAGTTTAGCAGTAAATTAAAAATAAATATCGCCGCGACTACTCCACCTGTTAAAAGAGCCGACTTTTACAACGAATAATATAACAACGAATATATATTTTTCTGTTGTGCAAAGTGATTGATTCGTGAACGATACGGCATATTTAAAATGTCTTGCTTATTAATAATTGTTAATTTAACCTGCGGTTTGCGTCGACAAAATAAATCCTCACCACTCAATATACCATTGCAAACCGCGGACATAAAAATAAAAATGTGTGGTAAAACTGCCCGATTATATATTGTTTTTGATCCGTATTTTGCGAAATCGGCAAATTTAAGATGTGTTCCGATTATTTTTAAGATAAAACCGTTCGAAAAATCCATAAATCAGCCGTAAAATCTCAGAGTAAAATTGATTTCCGCACAATAAAAATTGAATATTCTTTAGATTATTATATTATATACATTCTCACAACCCCGGTAAAAGTCGCGTTTCAAAACCTTGTATAATGTTAACACAAAAATTTTCGACTGCAATTTAATTAAAGTAATAGATAATCAGGCAAATCCCGCCCTCAATTAGTGACGATATGTTTCTAAACGCGGACCAAACATAATGTGGAAATTTTGCGATTTTCACTGCCTAGAAAAGCGTTTTTAAACTGTCTCGGGATTCAATAAAACTTTAAATAAAATAATAATAAAATAACAAATAAAACTTTTTGTTTACGGTTTCATTTTCAGTATTTTAAATTGCCGCTTTTCAATCAAAAAATTTGCGTTTTCTTTAGAAACTCGCCGCCGATGAACGTATTCACCGGATTCACAATTCCGTGCGAGTACAAAAATAAAATAATTGTCATCCTTATCGTGAAACAAATTTGTGGAAAATTTTCGTTTTAGAGAAAATAACACAAACGTAAAGGCGTTCACGGCCTAAATAATACGTCCGCTGATGAAGCAATCGCGCGCAAGTTTCTATCGAGAATGTTTTCATTCAACGAGAGCGGCGTCGAGAATGTGTGACGTCACACAAATATCCGATATTCTTATGAACGCTAATTCCGATATTCGAATGACGAGATATTCGAATACATTCGAATACTTTATTCGAATTGGCCATCCCTGATTATTTGTGCCATATTAAGTTCCTGATAGAAGTAAAGCCCAAAACTACACCATCACCAACAGAAGCTAATATAATTTGTTTCAGAAGTGTTTTATAGAAAAAATATTGAATAAATATATGTGGCCCACTCTCTTCTGTTCCGGGATAAAAATGAAATTTTTGGCCCACTCAATGAAAAAGGTTCGCCATCCCTGTTCTAGAGTATCAATGTACTTGTTTACTTCCATAGCATCCTCAAGATGGTTGAGGGTGTTTTCTCATTTATTTTAATTTTTTTGAATTTTCCGCAGGAGGCTTTTTGGAGCAGAATATTTTACCCAGAATTTTGCTGTTTTCTTTTAATTCATGAAACAATTTTAAAATATGCGTACACTTTATTTTGGTGGTAAACTTGGTGCTCAGCTAAACAGTTAGCGCTTTGCTATACTGGTACCAATGTGCAACGTTCATGTCCAAATATTTGAGCCATTCATTGTTCTTGTATTTAGTTTAATAATGCATTTGAAGTTTTGTGCGAGTTCTGAAATGCCCGAAACACATCTTGTCATCTACTTACAGACAATATACTACCAAGAACCAACCAATTTATCATATCTTCACTCAAACTATTGCAACAGGAGTCAGCTCAAATAATTCACACAAAACAACACCTCCATAAAACAACTCCTGCCTCAGTTTATGTATGATGCCACAGCGAAAATTAGGCTCATTACGCTACGAAATGCTAGAATTATTGCAGATTAAACAGAATGCGAACTTGTAGAATAACACTGTTCAAATTACTGTTATGCAATGAATTATGAGCATGCTAATGAATAGAATCTGCAAGAAATTTCAAAATTACACTCCAGGATTAGGAATAATCATACAACAAAAAACATACTTGTCATCTTCAATGCAACTACTTCTGGAGCTGAATATCCAGGACTACCACATCCACCTATCGTACCTATATATGAAAAAAAATTCAGAATTAGAAAATATCAAAAATGCAATTGAATGGTGAATGCAATCTTGCGTTCAGCTGATAATCATGAATTACTGATTGCATCAAAATTAATCAGTATTTCACAACTATCATAAATATATCAAAGACCATTGACTGGTGATTTATAAAATTCAGATCTTGGAAGTGTCATTATGATTCAATCACGATCAAATGCTCCCCAGAAGTGCAAACACCTATGTATTCCTGCAAGTATTCTTTCAACCACAACATTTTAAACAGTTAAAATCATAGCCACAGCCAGAACTTCACAATGGGATCGAAACTACACATAGTCCTATTTTACGAGTTGTCTAAACCGGAAAGTTTGGATATCTGTAATGAACTAACTGTATTAACTCTTTCATAACTATTAAGCCAGGTAATAGGAAGACTTCATGATATATATAACTGTTCCAACAAGGGACGTCGTTGAACCCACGGAACAGCCTCACCAAACCCCTAGGGTTCGACCAAACCCATGAAAAAAAAATGCTATTAAGCAATGTGCAAGTACGGGTCATTGTGGAACAATGGCAGCAAAATTTCAAATCACAAAAAGCTTCTACGCTTCTATCCATCATGGCAAAACGCTGACATACTTAACATGAAGGAGAGACGTCTACTCTACACCAACAACAAATCAGCTCAAACCTGCTGGAGTAATAGAGAGTGCAATTCCAAAATCAACTAATTTCACATTCATTGGATTATTTTCATCCATCGTCATAATAAGTACATTGTCAGGTTTCAAATCTCTATACACAATGTTGTGTCGATGCATGTATTCAATTCCTTCGAGAATTTGCAACAAGACCCTGAAAATTTTTAGAGTTTATAGATCATAAATACTCAAAAAACTAAATCAACTATCTCATAAATACTGCAAATAATCTTTCAACTGAATTCTTAGAATGAAGTCATATTTTGCCTTTGAGTCAACTCCCATTCCAGTTAACATAGATGTTCTAAAATAGCTATATTTGACCACTCTTATAAAAATGCAACTTATGAGTCCCATAGTAACTTGTAGAGTCCACTTTAATCCTCTGCCGAATGATTTAGATTCTGTTCAAGCAAATTATTCAGCAATTAATTTTTTTTTTACTAATGCACTTCAGAATGAAAGTAGTTGGCATTTGACCGAAATACAGGAGCTTCAATTGGTACTTATTAATGATTGAGAATCTGAAGTTGCCAAAGATACACCCTGGGTAACATAATTGACTGGTTGCAAGAATCATGTAATTTCACATGAAAAAAGACCAAATATCATAAACCAAGTGTAATCAGTAAATTATTTTTCCACCATTCCAAAGCACACAATGTGAATACACAATACAAGAAATATGGTACTTTAGGGTGAAGGGAGGCGCGAGACACCAAGACTGGTGATCGAGCTGCGACACAACAGCGACAGTGTTGTATGGACAGATGATCTTGTACTTAAAACACTCGAAAATTCTATCCAACTTTGTAAATCATAAATGTATTCATCATACCTAAGCCTCATAAACCTTGGAAAAATAATCAATGCTTCATTGACTGATACATTTTTAAAATGCTGTATATATTTGGTGAGACAATTGCCGGTTGCCAGTTCCATTATTAGTAATGGTGTCGGATGAGATTTGTTTGATGACAATATATATCCAATCAATTTTATAATGCTCGGATGATGAAGTCGAGCAAGCACGTTGAGTTCCTGGAAAGTAATGATTTTGTAGAGCAATATTACACAGCATATGCTCAAATCATATCTATTTCACTCCAGGATAAAATGAATTCACATTCATTAAAATTCGAAACACCTTTCAACCACAATTTCAAAATCATTAATTTGCAAATAGTCAAAAAAGTCACAGTGTGATCTCAAAGTTACATTCTATGGATTTTGAACAATTTACAATTGTATATACTAGTATATACGCTGACAATTACAATAATACTCACAGTTCTCAAGTTCATATATGCAGGGTTACTTGAAACCGAACGAAGTAGTTTAATGGCAACATCAGTCTGCTTACATTTTCCTTTAAACACTGTGCCGAATCCACCCTCACCTAACAAATCTTCTGGTTCTTGTTGAAAAGCAATATCAGATGGATCTAATGCATATTTCTGGTTGAAATCTGAAGAAAGCCAAATTTCATTTTAGGATATAATTTGCCTCTGAAATAATAAACAGACAGGAGCATGCCTCTGCCAATTAATAAAAGTTGAACCTTTCAAAAAAATACCCGGAACCAATTCATCTAATGGCTGTTGTGAATGAGCAGGGCATATTTTAACATTGTCTTCAAAACCGGGTTCAGATACTCTAGAAAGTTCTGAAAACTCATAGAAATGCACATAAGATTCTTCTTCCTCCGTATTCTTGTTTCTATCAGCAATGCATAATGCACAAGGTATATACTGAACAAAGCGTTGTTTCCCTTGAATATCAAAATCCATCAAATCAGGAAACCATTCTTCAATAGTGTTTTGAATATGATCAATAACCAGTGGTATAACCTGAATAGAAATATGCAAGACATTCTTATCCGTGATCTTAACAATTACAAGGTGCACTATCATTTTACCAAATTCAAACAATTGTCTACAAATTTGGCAAGGTCTAGCATACAGACTTATACCAAAGTTTTTTCAACAATATGCTGGTATTCAGCAATATGCCACATCACGTATTGTTGTGTCACCAAACAATTTCTACCGTTTACGAAGATCAATAACTAGTACTTAGGTACCTTGTACTTTTCATTGTTGCTTACAACTATCTCGATGATTGGCCTTGAATCCGATGCAACAGTTCTGAATATAAATAACAGCAAATAAACGGCTTTAATGTCACTGAAGTCACTGAAGAAGACAATCCGGAGTCGAAATTAAAATTCTAACATTAACAATGATATATGTCAAAATCACTCCCAAAACCATTCTACAGGGTGATTAAATGAACAGAACTCAGGCCACTTGGAACATATTCTAGAGAAAACATAATTTTTGTGCTAAGGGTCCTAGGTTACTGAAGCTTTGAGTACAATCATACACAAAGTGAAGTTCAAGTGATATAGAATATACAAAGTTGTGAATTTGTACAATTATCAAGACTGACACAACCAATTATGGTACTCCCGAAGTATGCGAACCAAGATGGTGGACACCGGAACGTAGTATGTGTACCAGGTTAGGGTTAGGCCATAATTTTATTCCAAATTTCTTTACTTTAGTTCTATTATGAGATCGTGGACTAGCCAAGTGACTCCCTTAGTATTTGTACCTGAAATTATGGCCTAACCCTAACTTAGTACACATGCTACGTTCCGGTGTCCGCTATCATGGTTCACATACTTCGGGAGTACCGCAATTTCTATATACACATTAACACACTTGAAACTTGTCATTTCAGCTGGATCAGGTTCCCTGAGCAAAAACACCAAACATTCATTCACTCTGAGTGAAATACCATTCTTCCAGCAATATATAACTGAACTTGCTTTACTTGACAATGAGTCGCTGTAAATCGTCAAAAGACCAGCATTGATATGATGCCAGAAATTAACAGGCACATAATCCAGCTGCAGAAATCTGAAATGCAGAAAGTAATAAAATCTTGCATTTAGTCATGTATCACAATACACATTCCTTTTTTGACTCCACAGCTATCATTCTATCATTTCAAGTTCGATACAATTGATTGGTTTAAAATAAGCCATTCCTGTATTTGGTACTTTTCTAAATTGCTCATATCAAATATACATATACAGTCAAAACAAAAGCCTATAAAGTGTTTAAGTTTCAGCATTTTATTTTCTGAATTAGTCTAATTTGATAACAACTCTTAAACTGGCTATGTCACCGCCAATCTTTGACAGGACTATAGTTTGAACTACTCGTTGGCATTGTGGGAATAACCAGCCATATATTGAATGTCCCAATATTTAGTCCCCGAATGTAAGTGCCTTGTAGTCTGGGTTAAAGTCAAAGATATTGACCTTGCTTTGATAAAAAAGTTTTATTTTTCTCTACCTTGTGATTAAAAATACTACAGATTCAATCAAACCTGTAAGAATTATTTCTGTGAATATTTTCTTCCATAAATCCATGATTGGGAGATTCATCTTGAAAATATGGCACAAAATACTGATCATTGTTTATCAGAAATATCAATCCGCGATTTTGCATGAGACGCAGTAATGCAGAAATAAATCTCCTCTCAGACGAGCTTGATACATTTGTAGCCTGGAATAAAAACTATTCAAAAATTCCGAATTGAATTCAACTGCTAGAACACGGAATCAAGTAGACAATTACATTTAAAACATCAACAACTTCAGTTACATCATTGAAATTAGTCACCACATAGAAATTTTCTTCTAATCTATTCCTTAAGTGATGCCAATATTTAAACAGGCATGGTTTCTTGCTTATAAATTATTTTCATTCGATTTGATCTCGTCTTTTTCAAACCTGAATGCTTAAAAACACTTTCCTTGGCAGCATGGAATGCTGAATGTTATCAAAGTAGTTAAAATTAAACTTTCATACATTTGATGATTCCTTTGTGAAAATATCTCCAATAACTTCTTTTATGATGCTGGTATGAACAATGTATTTGGGAAAAGTACTAACATTGTTTTCTAGCATTTGTTCGACAGAGTTGAACACCTAAAAATGAGGAAACAATGAATAAAATCATGATGCTAGATTTGTCTGGTGAATGATGCATTTTATGTGGTATTATTAATGCATTGATGAACACCAGTTATTGCCTTATATTGAAACATGATCATAAAAAGAAACATATATTTTCAATTGGTGCTCCCGAAGTATGCGAACCAAGATGGCGGACATCGGAACGTAATATGGGTAACAGGTTAGGATTAGGCGATAATTTTTTTCCAATTTTCCTTATTTTAGTCCTATTATCAGTTCGAAGACTAGCCAAGAGCCTCCTGTGGTATTTATACCTAAAATTATGGCCTAACCCTAACCTAGTACACATATTACATTCCGATGTCCGCCATCTTGGTTCGCATACTTCGGGAGCCCCTTTCAATTGGTTTGAAAAACTAACAAGGGTTGCTCTTTGTTCGTATTACTCAATAATATTCATTTCTGCAATAGGAATGAATATAAATATAAAAAATACTAAGACAACCTTCTGAAAAAGATCAAGCAGCCACAATGGATTCAGAATAAAATAATTTCGTAATCCATCTCTGGGATCATTTTGATGCCATATCACGCCAACTTTGGTCAGAAAATGAATTGCAGACAGCAACTCCTCACCATCTTCAAGATTTAACCGAAGTTGTTGATGATTTTGGATTGCATCAATCAAACTGCTATAACTGTATGAAAAAGGGAACTTTTTAAGCACAAAGTTAATCAGAAATCAGGTTTTACTACACAAGGGCGCTAATCCTCTCTGCCTTGATATATTTATTCAACCAATTATTTTTTTGAACAGTTAATATATCTAGAATACTCATATAGCAATCAAAATTTGTGGTTTCTGCAATTATGAGCTTTTCTGTATAAACCAACAAGGGTTGTATACCATAGCACAGTGGTCGACAAAGTTTAAGTGAGTTCCAAATAGTAAAAAGGAAAAGGTTTCAAAGCCCCACAACCATCATGTTGGTGACAGCTAGCTAGCCTCGGCCAAGATTTTGTTGAAAATTTCAAATTCAACCACATAATGAACTTGTTGAGGGACATTTAAGGGTACTCCCGAAGTATGTGAACAAAGATGACGGGCACCGGAATGTAGTATGTGTACTGGGTTAGGGTTAGGCCATAAATTTAGGTACAAATACCACAGACTTCACTTAGCGAGTCCCTGAACTTGTAATAAAACTAAAATAAGGAAAATTGGAATAAAATTATGCCCTACCCCTAACCTGGTACACATACTACGTTCCAGTGTCCGCCATCTAGGTTCACATACTTCGGGGGTACCAATTTAATTCATACTTAAAACTAGGGAAAATGTAACGATACACGTCGTTAGCTTGTGCAATTCAAATCATGCAATAAAGCAAGCAGAAAAGCAAGTATGAACAGAGCAGAATAGTAGCAATGCTGGTACTATAGTTGGAATGAATGTGATGCATAATCGTTTGATATAGGAACAAAAACCATTCAGCAAAGTATTTATATGTAATGTTAGATTTATAGAAATTTTTTGTGTATCACTGCGCATAATTGAAATTTATTGAAGACACACTACAAAATGCTCGGTTGTTCACAGTTTGTCCACTACTGCCATAGCACATTAACAACATCTCACCTTACTACTGGAAAATTGTATAGTTTATGTCTTAGCTCCAATATCATTGCTTCCAAGTCAATGTAATTTTTTGGAACAGGATTAACAAACATTGGAACTCCTTTTACTTTGTAGTCTGAAATAGAAATGAATAAATAACTCCCATATAATTGAGCAATGGTTTTTGAATACACCATATCAACGATATATAAGGTAAATAAAAAGAGTTGCGAATTCATTTTATGTCAAAAATGAAGCAGAAAATGTAAAACTACCTTTCAACACAGATACTACCAATGTTATCATTTTTTTTCAAATTATTTTTTGACATGCACTCATTGCAAATTAGGGAAATGATCTCTGAGCAAAAGTTACGGGCAACCCTAAAATGACAACAACTACTAAAACTATAAGGAATTACAGTGTAGAATTGTGCTAGTAAAAACCGACTGATGTGAAACTTAAAGATGTTCATGTTGGTTGAAAGAGATACACTTATTTTCTGAAAGCCATAGTTTCTGAATGCTGATGACTATTGTTAAAAGAAAAAATAGCCCATCGAACACACTAATAATTTACAAATCAGTTTCACAAGTCATTAAAGCTATTCAACCTTCAAGTAGTGATGAAATACAGGTGACAATTTTCTCAACATCTGCAGAATCTGGTAAATTGGAATCAAATTTCAGATGACGAATATAATCAGGACAACCAGGACTTTTTCCAGATAACATTGAATTCAATTCAGATCTAAATAAGAAAACTAAAGGCTAAAAAATGCAAAAACAGGTTATTTTAAACAGTCTTCGACTCATTAACTACTGGTACTACATTATGCTATGGATGTAGCAAGTGTTTTTCACAATGTAAAATAAAAAAGAGAAATAACTATAGCGACAGCGTAATAATATGAGGATACATTTTTCTATAACCTCCAGTCTGTCAGCAGTAGCTTGCAACAGGTAGTTTTTCCAGGATGCCAATGTGGCCCATAGCAGAAACGTTTTGCAACCACAGTTGTAAAACAATCCTCCTTTCCCCCATATAATAAGTATAAAAGACAGCACACTTACCCATTGCCTCTTAAATCGGCACAAAGAACAGGACAGTATGGAGCAAAAGATTGAGCAGCTTTTAATGTTTTCAAAGTTTCTGGATAAAATGCATAAAACTATTTGTAAATTCTCATTTTTTAGGATTGAAAAACAAAAATTCGTCATAATATTTCAGAATTGAAAAAGAAGCATGAATGCATGATTTTATATAATTACTGAAATGATAACAATACTATTGAAATGTTTATTTTTTTATCTTTTTTCGCTATCTACTCAAAAGCCCTAACAAAATTGTTCATCCTATAAGATCACAGGGTTCGTGGGTAGGCTACTAAGCATTTAAGCAACAAACGGAATAACTTGAAACTTCAGATGGAAGGAAAGGAGTAGCTCATTTAAAACAACATGCTGTTATCTAGTTCTTGCAAAAACATTGACAACGATGTAGCCATTAAAAAAATTACTTGCTATTCAAGATGGACATTCTGGTTCTAGCCAGTTTTACCTAATTTCGAACAAATCGTGATTCCTGATCCATCATTGCCCACTAATATAAATAGCCTATATAACATGGGATCAACAACAAGAAAGTTTCTATATTGATTGTGTAATCCTGGCATTATCAACTTTTCAAGAATATTCATTGCGAGTGAGAACAGCATTTTAACATTTAAAGGTATTTCCATAATCGCTAATGATAAATGTAAACAAAATGAAAATTGTAATATGAATCTAATACCTTCATCAGAATCCTTTGTACAAAAAACAATATAAAGAGCACAATCACAAAAAGTCAATTGAGGATAAGACTTGTAAATTGAATCATCCTTTATATTGACATCACATAATGATATATTGAAACATCTGAGAATAGAACAAAATATTATTGCCTGTACTAGAGAATCAATTTTCAACATATCCTGTACCACAACAATTCAAATATATGGTAGATAGCGATCGGAGACCGCCGAGTTATTGATCTGCGGTTTCGATTCCTTGGCTCTGATTCAATAGCGACACCGCGTGTCCCATCACTAATTTATTGATAACTTGCTAATTACACGACATACAGTAATTCATCCAGAATCAATAGGCTTCTGGAGATATGATGAATGCACATGCAAAATTTGGAGCAGATTCAACCTCGCTTGCGTGAGATATCGCGTAACATACGAAAGTGTCTAACAGACAAACGAGAATAGCGGTTGGAGACCGAAAACTTATCGATCGATGCATGCGCTTCTACTCCATAGTGACACAGTGTGTTCCGTCACAACAATTTAATCGATCGCGATCGATAAGTAATGAAGCTGATCATTCACCTTGTATCAGTAGAGAGAGACCAATTAAATATTTGTATTTCGCCTTCAGTAAAACTTGATTTTACTGCTTTTAATCCATATATGTCAGTTAAATATTGCAAAAAAGCTGTCCTCCATTCTGAAGGATATCCAATAAGAATTATGGCCTGTTTTAACCTCTCATCAGATTTCTTGAGACGAGAGAAAAAATATTGCAATAAATTCTGTGTGCGACCTGAAAATGACAAATTATTAAACATAGTTTAAAATTGTATATTCAAATTCATATTTTCTGCATGTTCCGAAGCATATTGAGCAGTTGTGCTATGTAGGGTTTATAACAAATAAGAGTTATTGTTGTAGACAGAATGTTCGAGTTTCTATCTATGGCCCCAAAATAGATATAACAAAAACCACTGGCTGTTTCTCAAAACTTGAATAATTTACAATATTTTCCATGTGAAGCAGAAAGAAATCTGTCACAATTTTGATCCCAAGACACTGTATTTAGATTTCTGAGTGAAGGCATGGGTGGCCACTAAATCGTTAAGAGTTATTGAGACTATAAATCATTATAGGGTAGAATTGCATGTTAGTAAATACCGATTGACGCGAGACCTAAAGTAGTATGTGTCAACTCGAGCAGAGATAGTGACTTCCACATAATAACCGAAATTCTCAAAAAAAAATTTGACCATCAAATTTTTTTGTCTGGTAAATGCCGAATGTATAAAATAGCAAAAAAAATTTGGGAATCTGATGAGAGTAGTCGAAGGCCTACAATAAAAACGCTAACCACTGTGGAAGAAGGGAAGTGTTTCGGTTTTCAACATTGCTAACCACACACAATAAGATTTCATTCAACTAGGGATAAAAAAAATGCCCAATTTTTCAAATATTCAGTATTTTAAAGATGACTAGAGCCTGTCATCTTTCTCTACGTAAGTGGAAGCTTATAATAATGTATGAAAGATTAATATTCCAGTATAAAAATCTTAAATCACCTGTCAATATATTGTTATCAATATCCAGTTTATTCCCAAGAAGAGATAAATGGTAAAGCTTTGAAAGTTTGCCGATATCGTTAGGAACATGCGTCAATAAATTGTTTTGCAAATCAAGAACCTAATGATAGAAGGATTAATAATATAACTGTAACATAATATCATGCACAATCTATTTGAACGAAGGGCCAATCCAATATTTTCATTTTCAACAAGAAAAAAACAAGATATAAGAATTACAATGAGACAACTAAACAGGAAATAATTTTGCTGGATTGGGATTTGCTGAGTAAAATAGTATAATTTTAAGTACGGTTGGAAAAAAATATTGCTCTCAATCAAAAGTTTTCATTCCGACCTCCAAGTTTTTAAGCATTCCTATATCAGCTGGCACAGAAACAAGATGGTTGTTTCCAATTTTGAATGCTCGAAGACAATTCGACCAATATCTAGTAACAGATTTCAAGAAGTCCTCAATATTGAAAATTTTATTATTCGATAAATCCAGATCAACCAGCATTGCAGTGACAGTTGATAAATCAGGAAATGATGATATTACATTATAAGACAAGTTGATGGTCTAAAAACACAAAGCATATTGTATTTGTATTGCATATTGTTAATACAGAGCAAGGTTAACTAAATGATTTAGTTGTGTTGTAGTAGACCAAAAGGTCTGGCAGGACCGTATCATTTGGTGTTGAAGAAAGATGCAACTAATATTTCAGAGGGACATAAAACAGTCTAAGATAGATATAAAATATACTATATGCGGTTTTTTACTTTGCCAATGCAATGCAATGTTCATTTATATTTATTTATTTACAGTAAATGTGTTACAAATACAAAATTCTCAAATTATGCTGAGCATGAGAAACAGGGCACGAGTTAGAATAGTATTCTATGACGTATTCAAAGCTGTTGTTTGAAAGTATACAACATCTCTATATATCACTTTTTTTATGCTATGGTATATTATTTCATTAAAGAACAATTTAACACTCGGATTAAATCAAAGTAAAAATGCTTTCAATTAATTTGAGTGAGAGTTTTGACTAGAGCTCGACCGATATGTCGGCCGACCGATATATCGGGCCGATATTGCGGTGTTTGCCGATATATCATATCGGCCATAAACCGCCGATATATATCGGCCTCGCCGATACTACTCGGCAAGCGCCGGGCTGCATGCTGCAATGGCTCTCGCCCCTGCGTATAATTCTCTCGCTTTCATTTTGCGTTATAACGGTGTCTCTCCTAATTCCCGGTGTCTCATGATCAGTCATTTCATGCATGGTCATAACTGAAAAGTTATTATCTGGAGTAACAATGACTTTTATAAAGTGACGTTTTTGAGAGAGTACACAAGGAGAAAAAGGCAAATTTAGTAACAGCATTAAACAGTGGTTCTATAAATAGAATTGATTGGAAGCTGGTGATTTAGTAATAATAGAAACATGGACAGGTAGCTCGCAGCAATAATGTCAGTTCCGAATTTGTGACCTCCCAAAATTCAATTTTGAATTTCTGGGGAAACAGATTTGTCTATATTGATGGTTGTTTATCATTTTGCTGAAAATTACAAAATAAAAAACTTAATCCATAATAATTGGCTAAATAAGGTATTGAGAGTCTCTGGAAACAAAGTGATTAAAAATTTCACATGTAACTGCACATATGCTATCACAATATCGAAGGATCATTATCACAATTTACTTTAAAATATATCAATTTATAATTTTTCAATACCCTTGACATATGTTCATAGGTATATTTAAAAACGTCTGATTAACAATTCTTTCTCCTGGAAATAGCTAGACCGTAAATAAAAACTACTACGGCTAGACTGATATTGAAATAGCAGGAAAAGTTACAGAATAACATTTGTTCGACCATTAACTGAAGTTAGTCAAATAAAATTCTTACTGCCATGATAACAAATATTAAAATGAAACTACAGACTCACAAGGTGCATCATAAAAGCGTGGCTCAAAATATGATTTATATTAATATCAACATTGCCATATCGGTTATCGGCCACCAGTTGGCCGATATATCGATATCGGCGTCAAAAAGTGATATCGGTCGAGCTCTAGTTTTGACCTCCCATTTTTGCTCATAACAGGAGAAAAAAGTGAAACAGGACTAACCTTTAACGATTTGAAACCGATCAAACATGACGGAAAACAATTTAATTTATTATGACTGAGATTAATTATACTGAATGACATAATGGCATTCCTTTTTTCACTCAAATCTTCAGTAATCGTCGTTATATTATTCTGAAAAAAAAAGAAAATAGTTAACCAATAATGATGCTACCCATTCAGATGATGCTATGCTGCTATCAAAATGAGCTTACCTTTGATAAATTTAAATGTTTTGTCGCTGCAAGTTTCATCATAAATGAAAGACTGATGCTTTCAATTGAATTGTTACTTAAATTTAAAGTATCAGAAATGAATATGTCCTTGCCAGAATCAAGTTCTGAATACAAATTGTAAATAAGTTCAAATACTTTATATTGACATATTTTATGACATGCAAGATGTTGCAGACAAAAAAATACTGTTTTTGTAAACATAAAATTGCTGGAGATGGGCCTAATGAGATTTGGGTCGAATAGCACGAAGCTTCTTTTGAATATGGTCAAAGACTACATGGTATAGGCTTTAAAGCAAATATATTTACAAAATGCCACATACATCCCATGTCACCTTCAGCTATTATCCAATTTTCTACTAGCAAAGTATAATAATGTAATGTAAATGGATTAAAATAAACAAATTTGATGCAGGGTGGAGATTGTGATGCTTTTATTTTACCGAAGTCGCCCGCACTAGGTACGCTGAACATAATGAAATGAATATGCAGAGACATTCTGAATGCTTGTATAAGTCATGAATTGTAATTTTTTTACGAAACTCAAAAATCATTATCTGCTGAAAGATGGGGCTTTTAACAAGTGGGGAAATCGGACAACTGGTCGGACTCAGGTATTGTTTCGTGGGAATTTCTGATATTGAATGCTCCTCCTTTTTTGAAAACCCTGAATCCACCCCTGTATATATATATATATACAAAGTAAAGAGATCTGCAAAGACTCACCAGGCAAAACCTTTATTTCATTGTGGGATAAGTCCAATATTTTTAGTATTTTCAGCGCTGAGCACAATTTGTATGGAAATTGGCAGATTTTATTGCCTGACATCTTCAATGTTGATAAATTCTGATGAGCAATCGTTGAATGAAAATTGAAATTCTCCCAGCAATCATCTATAGCATTGCAACTAACGTCCAACAAAACGAGTTGATGGCAATGAATAAGTATTGAAATGGGGAATTGTGACAAGCAACAGTGATCCAATTTCATCTCTCTGACATTTTTCATTAGCTGAATAAATAAATAAAAACTCACAAATCAGCATAGCAGTGAAGGTACAGTCATAAAATGGTGAAGGTATTTAATATGGAGAGAATAATCATATATTTTTTAATTGAGCATTACATAAAGTGTCTTTCAATTTAAACAATCTAATTATAAAAGAATTTGAAGAATTTAATATTTTACATTGCAGTCAGATAGCATAGCCATAAATTTTCAGGCAAGAAATCTTAAGAATACATTAAAATTTGTTTTACCGAATAAAGATATCTAGTCAATATATTACCTCTGTCATAGAACATGGAATGTGAGTCAGAACATTATGTCCGCAGATAAAGCTTTCTAAATTTGACAATGTCAATCTACATTGATCCATTTGTGAAAGAAACGTGAGAGATTTCAAGTCATTATATGAGATGTCCATTCTGGTTACCTTAAAAATTTTAGTAAACATTTAGTTTTTAAAAAAGACAACATACTGAACTCAAAAAACTAATTTTCAAAACCCTCTTTTTTGAAAGAAACAGTTCAAATTTACATTTCTGCTATCTCTGTGATCATCAAACAAATCAGTAGAAAGGCATGTTTTTCCAGAAATGTTGACACTGTTTAATATTCCATGACACATTTCACATAATGAATGTTCATTATTGTCTTCAATTGCATCGATTACATCAAAGTTAGATTCAAAAGTAAACGGCTTCTCATCATCAAACGATATATGCAAATGATCACAGAAATTTACTTTCTTATCTTCACCATCAATTGATTTTTTATTCTAAAAAAAAAAAAATTTGGTTAAAATATAGGAGTATGATGTGAAACTGATGAAACTAATCCAGTTCATCACCTTGAACTGTCAGTTTTTACTCGATGACTCGCTTGCTTGGCCAAACAGGTTCAAATTATTCGAATTCAAGGATTTGATGAATGACATTAGCAAATATCCTAACATGGTCACATATTTACTTCAAGTATTGAAATATATATATTATATTTCATTCATGTAATAAGCCAATTTACAACTTCATATTCACTGTAGAACAATTTCCAGACTGCCAAGTCTTTATTAAAATCAAATTTATTCAAATCAACAAACCTGTATACAAGAGCAACAACATTCAAACATGGGTTCCATCCAATTATTAGTTGTTAATTTATTGGCAGCACTATGAAAAAGGAAAAATGTGAGTATAATGAAAATACAATAGTTTCAAATTACAGCCACATAATTGATTTTAACCACTTGGTAACTGAAAGTGGAATGAATTTCATGTCTTAATTAAGATTCCACCAACTTGTTATGAACAAAATCCGCAAACGTCATTGGCATACAATCACATATTTGAAGGCCATTGCTTAGGGAAAGCTAGTGCAATAATATCTTATGTTACGAGGTTAAATACAAATTCAGAAATCTGTGAGTTAAATTATTACCACTGGCCAGTTACGCAGAAGATTAATAAACTTATGAGTATTTTTTTAATCTGCTTCATTTATATTGTGAAGATTATTAGTGGATAAAAAAAGTGAACATAACAAATAAAACCAGTTACTTTGAAAGAACTAATCGTACATACCTTTCACTAAGAACATCAACGGCATCAAAGTATTTGTTTTCAAGTATTTCAACCAATTCAGTTGTACAGTTTTCTGACAAAAAAAAAATTTTTTTTAAAAAATTTAATTTGCTCTGCATGGTACTAACTAAAACTTTAAAATTTGCATCCAACAATTTCTTTTTTAGAAATTAGAAAAATATACAATGAGCAGAAGCATACGGTAAGTGAAATTGGTAAAGCAGAAAGACGGTTCAAAATCAATTTTGTGAAACATAATATGTAAAAATAGTGAGCTAGATAGAGACAATCTAGATGTCAAAAGACAACCTAGGTGTCAAAGAGGTAAAAACATAAAAAATCAGAAGAATAATTTAGGTAGTCATTTTCCCATTAAGTTTTGCTGACAAATTCATCCAAAAAAATAGCATTGTCATGAACATTTAGTCAGATTATCGACATGAAATTCTGTTCCGAGCATGATTAATCTCTTCAATTTAAGACAAAATTATGTTTATTGTACATAATAGGAAAAACGTAGTTCAATTTTGAGATTTACTCCTACAAATATTAATTTTTTTAAAAATGAGCTAAAAAATGGAATGTACCAATTGGCTCTTATAAATTCGAAGACCTATCGTTTACAATTGGAATTTATGACAAGACATTGATTGATTGCGGGAAATAGAATAAGCTTGGAACAACAACCCAATCATTATTTCCACTAACCCGGCGTCCATACAGCATTCAATATATGAAGTGATAACTTGAATCCTGATTTTACTGGATTGGACGAATATTCACAGTGTATTCGATGTGTTTCCTGTAATATGAGAAAGAGAAAAAGTCAGTTTGGGATTCATCCAGTAAAATCTTTCATTGCACAAATAACAAAGAAAAAGATGAAAGCTCTGGGTCACAGAATTCTCACCTCACTCATTGGAGTATATGCTATCTTCAATGAACGTTGACTCAATTCTTTCATATTCAAACGTTTCCAGTCAACAATATTCTGCTCTCCATGATGAAATAAAAATCTGAAAATATTTAGCCATAATATGACTTTCAAAATAGTCATGAGTCATGACACTGACAGCATTCCCAATCCATCATATGGAGCAATATTAACCTTCATGACGATTCCAAATAATTTTTATTGTGTGGTTTTGATATAAATTCAGATCGTTGACGAAAAAAATAGTAATTAAATAAGACAAAAGCGATAAGTGCATTGATGAACGAGAATGAAAATAAGTGTTAATAAGTGAAAAACAATAATGAATCCCATTTTAAAATATTTTTAGAAGGAAGATTAGTTACCGTAGTTTAAAACAGTAGCACAAACCTGTGAGTAATTCCATTTTTGGGAATCGTGGGGATGCTTGTGGAAAACAAAATAAAAACACAAAGTAAACAAAATGAATGAATATTATCACACAATAAAGCAAGCAAGCGTACTGTACGGTACTCTGAAAAACTCACAAATGAATGTAACATTCGAGCTCAGATTTAAATATTTTCCTAAAATTGTATAGACTTCAATGCTTGAATATAACTTTGCAGCATGCTATAGATGAATAACTGAAGAAAAAAAAATAGCAGAACAAAGCAGATAGATACATACCGGAGCAAAAGACCAATAACGATAGAATCTCTTGTATCCATTGTGAAAATATATCTTAAGCATGCTTTTATATCATCCAGATTGATTTTTTTAATCCCATGCAAAAATAATAAGTGCTCTAGGTGTAACATGCAATCCACCTTTAACATAGAAACAGTGTGTTCAGGCAAAGAATATTTGCTTTTAAAACATATCTCCTCTAGAATGAATTCGTACCAAACAAATTTGAGATGTTGAACATGCTTTCATAAGCAAGGATGTTTCTCCTTCAGTTCTTTTAGCAAGGATGTCACCACCAAGAAATTGTAGACATGATATTACAACTGGATTATGTGAAGATGAAAGATGAGAAGAGGCAATAGATTCACTAAAAATGACAATCACTTAAATCATGATTTCATGATTCTCATGGAAATAAAAAGAGTAATGAATCATCCAAGTTAGTACAGGGTGTCAGTTCTAAATGTCTCTTAAGCTTGCATAACAGTTGAATTATTATGTTGAATTAATTATTATGTTGAATTGAACCTTTGAGAACCTTATCACTCAATAGTTCTATGAAGTGTTAATAAAACCGCCAATATCTAAATTACCGTCCTCGTACCATCCTGTACGAAAAAAAAAAAATTTTTTCTCTACCGTGTCTTTCCTAGAATTCTACTCATACATTCAGAAAGTTCTCTTGCAATTAAAATTTTGTTATGAAGTCAGTCCAATTTCTTTAATACACCATTATTTGCCCACCATTACTTGCTTGAAACACATCTAAGTTCTCTCATCCGAAATACAGGACTTTATAAACAACCCATATATTTTGAGTATGGAAATCATGCAAGGAATTTGAAATTAGGACTGAGCTCTGTGCATAATACGAACAGAATACAAACTAACCAGTGTTTTGGGTTTGAAGTGAATAATCGAATTGTTGACAAAACATGATTTTTTATATCTTCCTCATCATCATAGAATGATATTTTATTGTTTTTATCAACATCTGCAAATATTTGTATGAGATCTTTTGGAATTCCAGCATTGATCATATTCAAAGTTAGATCGCCTGATATGAAAATGACAGCCTGAAAGATAAAATACCATAACATCAGTTTCAAATTTATTTTTATGAATTCCAATTCTTCGGATATTTGATAAATCAATTTCAGATCTTCTAAATACAATCGAAATTGAACAATGAAATTTATATTTGTGTCATAACTTATGTCTTATACAATATTAAAGTTTCTATAAATGCTTTCCAAAACAATTAATTTCTTTTTGTGGAAACCTCAGTAATGCTGTTAGTTTTTAGTTTGATATATTTATCTTTCGCTCCAGAAGTATGTGCACCAATATGGAGGTAACTAATTTTGTTCACCTACTATACATCAAGTTGTATAAAGGGACTGAAACCTATGGGCAGGGGGTATATTCACTTGGCTAGCACAGACATTCCCCGAACTCATAATAGAACCAAAGTAAGGAAAATCCGGATAAAATTCGGCCTAACCCTAACCTGGTACACATACTATGGGAGTACCTATCTTTCTATTATAATCATTTGCTATCTGCTCTGAAAAGGCTCTGTATAGGCAGCCACTTCTAGGTAATGAGCTAAGATAGTTTGAAAGAATCGGAATCTTCCAGTTTCGGTGATTGGCTACCCGATTTGTTACACACTGGATGGGATGGCGAGCTTGGGATTCGAACGCAAGACTTTAACCTTCAATGCCATTCCAACACTTTCTCCACTAGGTCACATACCAGCGTCCACTAGAATTCCCTCATTTTTTGATACCAACCTTAATAATCTCACACACCGAAATTAAAATATCAGCACAGTGCGAGTAACTTGCCAACGAACAAGATAGCACATGAATCAGCATTTCATATTTTGAAAGCAAGATAGTTGGCAGTGACTCGGATTCCTCAAAGCATCTGAAAAGTACATTAGGATTCGAAGTTTTTTGCAATTATACAAAGAGTACAAACTCATACATTCCAACAAAAATAATAGGTTACTATGTACAAGAACATCATTTTCAAGCAACTTATAATACTCGAAAATTAATATAATGATTAATAATACTGTAAATCAATATCATTGATTGCAAAAACAAAACTGATTAGGTAACATTTGACCTTGGGCAAACCACAAATAATTGTCACAGTTTGGATAAATTATACCAACCAGTCACAAACATATTAATCCAGATTTTTTGGCGTTCAAATTTCTAACACGTTCACTACCCATTATCATAAAAAATTTCAAATTTTGCTCAAACTTTATATAAATTCATTTTTGTCTCACCTTAATTGCCATATCTACATTTACCTACCAAAGATTTAACAATCTAATCACAATAAACAGAAAATCGCAAGAGAAAGAGGGAATTGTATCAAATGTGTGAGAAATTTTATATCGTTTCTAGCTTGTTACAGGTCTCTCTCCACAAGATCCACCAAGTTGGAATTCTAAATAAAACTAAATGAATAAATAATGCTTTATTATTGAATACTACAAATATTCTTACATGGATTTGAAAAGTAACATCTTTAATACCATAGATCCCCATAGCTGTATTTCTTTGCAAGTGAAATAATGAAAAATAGCATGCAATGTTGTATCAAATGCTCCTTCTGTCCACAACAACTCATATGCTCCATCTATAAAATAACACAATCTGGAAAATGAATTTATACCAAAAATTAAGTTGAAGGTAAGGTAATTAGACAAACCTATTAGTAACTAACTACCATAACATATCTATTCCATACCAATTAGAAATCAAAGTTGCTGGAATAGTAAAAGCTCAATTGAAAAAGGACTCAAGAGTCATGAAATGCATGAACTTGGCTCACACCCAGTTCTGAATCTCGGTCCATACCTAGTATGTACACTGCACACTGAAGTTAAACATAATCATGAATTTTCAAACCATGCAATGCACTTGTTTGATTAATCCTGCAAATATTTGATATCAAGCAGATTAATTAGGCAGAACCTCCTCTAACTACCCATCCTGCAACTCCATTTTCTAGTTGTCTTGGATAAAAACATGCGAGGCAGCCTAGTGTTTATAGCAGGACAAATAAACTGGCTGACCTCTAATTGTGGATATCAACCCTCGCTAATATACAACAAAGACGGAATTACTATCAGTAAAAATCTTCTCTTTCGCGAGACCGGCTAAGCAGTAGGATAATCTACCTGAAGAGTTGGCCCAATATTTTATCATGAGAACTTACTGATTTCCATAAGAACATATAGACACTTCAATCCAAAAACTTGAACCGTGTCCGAATCAATCAAAAGGCTGTTCATCAGTTTCAAAATGGTAATTAACAAGGAAGACTCAAGTTTATGGCTTGAAGATTTTCCTGCAGAAAGAGGTAATTCCTGTACGAGACATTGCTGTCTCCAAACACAGCGCAGATAATTATAGTGATCGGATTTCCTACCTGAAAATAATATTCAAAACTGAATCATCATCATCATATCGGGTGAGTGCCTCGGGCCGACAAACGAATGGAAACAAACAAAAAATACATATGTTTTACGCATAGTATATTTTTCAGAATAATTGAAGAACAGACCATAGCATCAGAAGTATATTTCTAATGAGAATAAAACAAATACCCTACATTAATTAGGTTTTCAGGGGAAATACCAAGAGTCCTGGTGCAGGCACTACACCACAAAAATTGTGGCAAAAGTTCAGATGAAATTGTAAATGGTGCAAACTTATTCTATCTATGGAGTTGTACAAAAAAATAAACCCAATTTGGTATGATATTGGTACTGTAAGTACGGTATATAGCAGGGTAAGATCACAAAGGGCTATGTTAAATTTATTTATCCAACAAAAACATAAATTTCTCCTACAAAAATTCAATGATTTCTGACTAATTTTTCAGAACAATCATTTTTAGACATTGACAGATATTAAAGAACGTTTTCATCACATTAAAAAATCAAAACCAAGTCAGTATTTTTATGCCAGTATGTATCCCAATCACCTTTTCCGATCAAGCAACTCAATAGTTCTAAAGCTACAGCATGCAGTTGAAAAGATGTAGATTTTACCTGTGAAAATAATCTAGTCTTAATAATAATGTCTAAATTTGAAAAAATACAGAACGAACACTAATAGATTGTCAGATCCAAAAAAATACAAATCTGAATCATTCGGTATCATGTAAAATTTTATATTACTCAAATTGTTTTCGATGAACTTTTGAACATTTCGTTAGAGTTCCATTAGTTTCTCATTTTTTACACCAAATTTAATAATCTCTCTTAATCCTCCAATAAAATAAATATCCACACAATAATTTCAAACATTTTCGATACTATTCTCCATAATAAATAATAAAAGGAAAAAACATCTCACTTGTAAGTTATTTGCTATAATGTACATGATATCCACCTCTGCACATTTAACAATATTAGCAGAGCAATCGCGAGTCATTTCCAACAAAAGTTGTAAACAGCAGAATTCAATTCTTATAGACTGAATTGTGTCATTGCTGGCAGACTTTTTATCTTTGCTGCTCAAACCAATATAGTGCTGCTCCATTATACGAACAAGATTATGATAAACACCTATAAACGGGATTAAATAATTGTTGAATCAAGTGGCATGGGAAAAGAAATGAAGATTCTGATTCCTAATTAACTGCCAATTGACAGTAGCCAATTCTCATTGTGCATTGCAATATGTACAAATTCAAGTTGCTAAAAAAAATAGAACAAAAGATAAATTTGAAAAACAATATATCCAACTAAATTATAACATCATAACGGCAACACAGTGTTACAGTTATAACATGAAGCAAATTATTGTTGCAAGTTTTCCATATTCTGGCAAAAGATGAAACCAAAGCTTATCAAAAAATTTGATAAAATATATATATATATGTAGCATAAGATTTCTGACAGTAGAAGCATTAGTATATTTAGAAAATAATAAAAATTTGTTAATTTACCAGACTGTCCGAGTATTGGCTTCAAAGAAGGAAAACACTTTAGCAGAGTGATCAAGACATCAGATGCTGGTTGGAATATTATCACCTCATTATGATAATACAATAATATTGTGACAAAAGAGTTGGCAATGTAAGTGGTGAAATCTTTTTGATCATATTCATTATATATTCCATCTTCTTGTAAACACAGTAAATTTGCGTTGCCATCCGAATCTTGGATCATTCTGAACAATGCATTAACTGGTTAATTTAAAAAACTAACAATTACAGAATTACTCATTTTATGAACTTCAAAAGACAATTCACCTATGACAACAAAAAGGACTAAAATATTACCATTTCACAACCCAAGACTATGGAAAATAGAAATAACTTAAAAGTAGAATATTTAAAACCGCAATACTTCGATTCCATATTAAGATTTGCGCTCCAATGTCTGAAATTGATAGTTAGTGATACAAAAACATATCATTTAACCAATGATAAGAATAGAGATTAAAAATGTAGTTTCAAGTTGATTCAAATTTCTGTATTTTCTCCAAGCAAATATGAAAATTACGATACAATTCTGTTGAGAAATATTTTAAGTGATGTGAGCAGATTTGATAAAGAGGATTGTCAAATACTGAAATATGCAAGAAGTGTGTTTCATTTTTTTCCCTCCTGCTCAAACTCTTCTCCACAGCGCAAGAAAGCCCAATCTATGTCTTATTACAATAATATAAAAACAGTTGCTGTAAAATTTCATGTTTCTCTTTGTCTTTTATTATACTTGCATACAGTAATCCAAACAAAAATCCAAAAAAAAAAAAAAAAAAAAAAAAAAAAAAAAAAAAAAAAAGACCAGACAACAATAAAACAATACACAACGGCAACATTAAGACAATGCATAAACGAAAAAACTTACTTTCTGGCACTTTGTAACAATAATACAAGTTCTTCTTGATTGTCTGAGCATCTTAATTTAGCTAAAATATCTTCCATAATAAAATATTGCTTAAACGGACATACCAGTACCAGTACCTGGAATAACCTGGGCACAGAAAGTGGTTCTCAATTATCCGTTTGTGAAGTTGCGCAGCGCCCTTTTGCTTTTACAACAACTTTAACATATTACGGTTTTACGAATGTTTACAAAACAAACTTCAAAAACTTGCATTAACACCCGCTAGGTGGCGCAATAATAGGAACTGAGGCACTGTTTGGGCACTGTTATCCCCATGTTCGTCGATTTAACCGAAAATAGCATAGAAGCGTTTAAAATACCTCTTCAAGATAGGTTCAAGACAGCAGGTACGATCTGGCGGGTTTACGCGAAAACTGTACCTCGTGCCGGTAATTATAGAAACTCATTTTTTACCACTGTCCCCCAAGTTCGACGTTCGGTTATATTGTCGGGAAAATGAGGCAAATAGGGGCGTGTTTTGGTTAGAGACTGGACACAACGCCAATGCGGCACGATCGACGCCACGTAGGCTATAGACCTGATAACATGTCCACTGGAACAGGTCTAGCAGACCACAAATGGAAACTATTTCATGCTTCAGTGGTTCGCCTGCGATTTAAATCTGTCCTTTCGGTCCAGAATATCAGTGTATAATGGTCATTGATTTACGAAGTGCATAATTGGCACACGTACCCGTGGGTTTATGTCCACTAGGTGTTGCAAGAGAGCAGTCACCTTCTGACTTTGGGATAGTACCACGTGCTGTTCACTTGTGTTCCCGACGTACTGCGCGTTAGGCTAATTGCCCCGTCTGCCGTTCTTAGTTAGTTCTGGCTCTCCCAACATGGACTTGTATTTGTACTTGATTCGTGTTTCTGTAGGTGTAACAATTATGTTTTCTTACTGTTTAGAAATCTATTGGTACTGCATTTGTTTATACCCGAGTGACACTATAATTAATTACCGGCTTTTTCGTACCTCACCAACTGTTGGCGAGTGTTATTGTGTTCGACCTGATTTTGCAATCCTTGAGCGACTGTTACACGTTTTCCAAGTTATAATACATTTGATTGTATCCAGTCAAGTAGACTGTTATTTATGGGGAGTTGGAGAGCACAGGCTGTAATATTCGTTCGTGAAGGTGCTGTCCCGTCAGCGCATAATAAGAAAAAGACCGCGTCCACAAGTTAATTTTTAGTATCAACATCTGTGGCACACAATGATCCAAGTGGACACCGTTTTAGCGTTGGCACAGCGTGACCATCACTACAATCAGACTACCTATCTAGGAGATCTGGAAGTGAGCTGTTGTTGATAAACTTTAGTTCGCATTGAGGAATTTTTCACCATGTCAACCCATCATATCCTGCAAACAACTCCCAATCAAGAACGTGCATGTAATTTTGATAATTTTGTCAACATTTGTATTGAATTTCTGAATTTATTAAAAATAAAACATATGCAGTGTTTGCAAATCATGACTTATTTGCTTTAGTCCGGCAGCTCTAAAACTGTTCTCATCTTGTTTAGGCTGCGAGACGAGGCCCTGAAAATCGTCTAGAAAATGAGTTTCGTAGCGCACATGAGGGAACTACCGGGAAATAATTCTAAAATGTTCCTTAGAAATTTAGTAACAAATAATACCTTGTTCCCATTTCCACAGGTTGCACGTTTTACCAAAATGACGCTTTTAGTACAATAAATATGTGTTACCATCTGTCCTTTATTCTCTGCTTTTCTGGTATCGTGAGCCAATGAACGCAGACTTCTGCATGACGTAACAATTATAATTGGTCAGCTGTAGGTGGATCCGCGTGGTCGGATGAATATCAAATGTACTGCTCGCTTTTGCGTTGGGCTGAGTAGCCTTTTTCAGTTACACATCAATGGTTTGGACATGTAATCGAGGGCGCCAAGTGGTCTCCGAGACCACTTTGTCTTTTCCGAATCGAACCGGTTCGCTGGACTGGTTTTGATGGACATGTAATCAGGCCTATGTATCCCATCCTACATTTAGAATTCGGTTGTGGTCTGCCGCGGCTGGGTGGTACATTTTGATTTTTATATAAAGCTCTGCTTACTATCCAGCCTACCTCTGTGGGAGCAGAAATATCATTCTGTGCATCTGGGCTGTTCGTCACAAAACTTTGGTCTCGTTCACACGACTCCACAATTGATGCCTTGTGCGTCATACGAAATGCATTGCAGAAAAAGTAATTATTCCCGTTCTTCTGAAACCCTATTCTGTGGCTCATTAATTTTATAGTGAACAAACTATCAGAATATTTTCAATTAATTGTTGGATTTTGACATAAAATATCTTAAACAGTTTGTCTGTCTTCGCCACTGGAGAGTAAATGCAGATTTCTTTTCTTTATCATTTATTTATAGAAAGGGGGGTTTATTTTGTTTCGTCCACTATAAAACATATACACGACAAAATATAATTGAAAGCAAAAAATTCTCGGTACAGATGACTGGGTGACAACGATACAACCATGCGGTCACCGGAGTCAGGTGTCACCCAATAATAATGACCTTGAATAAAAAAAATCGCTTCAGTTATGGTTTAACATATATCAGGTGTGTCCAAAAACAACATTAAATCTTCATGGAAAAACAATTTAGTGGGTTAAACATAGGCTTACCATACGTCCCGGTTTAGCCGGGACAGTCCCGGTTTTGACAAGCTGTCCCGACGTCCCGCTCGGTAGCTTTAAATGTCCCGGTTATGCAGCATAGCAGTCATTTATACATTTATATATATATATACAAAGTTCTTTTATTTAACGGAAGCATCCAATTTATTTCTGATTCACTAGTTAACAAAGGGAGAACTACTGTGTTGTTGTGTCATATGTATTATATGTTCATTGCAATAATTTGAAACCCAACGTAAACTGCACTGCCGATATCTTATCAAAAAGCCAAATGGGATTGTAGAAAGACGAGTGGCAATAATGTTTCCTTAAAACTTAAACCGAGCCTTTATGGGACCGTTATAGGATGTGCGCTCATTTACTTTAAAACTGAATTCATCATCATTCCGCGGATTTGCCCGTTTGAGTAGAAAGTCTTGTTGTCAAATTGTATAAATTCACACTGTTCAAGTAACAGAGCAGAAATCATTTTGACATTATGGATACAACTATTGCAGTATGGCAACGCAGGTGTATCTCTTATGTCGATTATTGAAATGTTCGAATAATTGAAAAGTTATTCTAACTCTCAAAGATATTCTGCTTTTATACAAAATGTTTTGCGACCCCGCGTACGAAATAAATTATAGCTAGTTTTGAAGCCCGGTATTTACTCTCAAAGATATGAAAGAAGTTTCAGTTATTACTGAGGATCTGAATCGAACCAAAGTTTGTCCGATCCTCACTGTCCCGGTTTTCTGTTCCAGATATATGGTAAGCCTAGTTAAACACTATGGGCAGTGCCATATAACGTTAAAAGTTAAATAGAAAATTCAGACGAATTACACACTTGACCATGTGTGGTATTAACCAAATTTGAAATGGATATGTATTTTTGAGTAATTGAAGCATCAATTCTGTAGAATTGGTTACTTCAAGTTGAGGAATACACAACAACCTTATATATGAATGTGAAAGACTCAAGGAAACGTATATAATATGGCATTAAAAAAAGTCACTACAATGGTCATCACAGAATAGCAAAATAAAGTTTACTTTAGAGCAACAGTGTTTGAATTACAAAAAATGCACAAATCTCAATATTGAGCTTAAGCTGGGGCATGTGAAAGAATTAGGCCGCGAGTCGAGGCCATTTATCTTCCAGTTTCGTAGCGCACATAAGGGAACTACCTGAAAATGATTTTAAAATGTTCCTTTAAAATTTAGTAACAAATAATGACTTGTTCCCATTTTCAAAAGTTGCTCGATTTACGGAAAAGACGCTTTTACTACAATAAATATGTGTTACCTCCTGTCCTATATTCTCTGCTTTTCCGGTATCATGGGCCAATGAACGCAGACTTGCATGACGTAACAATTCAAATTGGTCAGCTGTAGGTGGGTCCGCGTGGTCGAATGAAAATCAGATGTACTGCTCGCTTTTGCGTTGAGTTATGTAGCCTTTCCATAGTCTTTTTCAGATATTATTAGTTAAGTTATTCTAAGAAGGTGTTAAAAAGTATAAGTAAACAATTAAACACTTGTATATCCTTACCTCCTTACCATAGATAGAAATTTTGGTTGAGCACTTCCTCATTAAACGCTGTTAAATAGGTACGGTGCAGTAACACCCATCCCTAGGCAGGCTAGACCGGTATGTTAGTCGTTGGGCTAGACTTAGAATAATATGTCACAAACAACGATATTTTCTTGCTTGTATGAAAGGTTTATGAATAATTCAATGACGATTCTTGACTATTCAGCAGACTTACACTACTATATAGGTTACGGAACATTTGACTCAGAATATAATGGCTGTTTCTGTAATGCACGTTTGTGTGAAAGAAGGGGAAATAATTAATTTTATTGATGTCAGTTGGTCTAAATTCATAGAGTTAAGAAGAACCTGGGAAGCAATGATAAGTTATGCCGGAGTGAAAGAAAAGTAGCATTGGGAGCGATTGAGAGGTTAAAAAATCAAGAGAGCTATGCTCAAATATATGAACACGTAGAGTCACATAATTTCGGTGACGTCATAGCGAAAAAAAAAGTAATAGCCTTCTGGAGAAAATTTTTATCTTCAACCACTGAAAATTTCAAAGCAATTGGTCCAGTATTCGAAGAGAAAAGCGACTTTTTAAAAACGTGTCAAAGAACAACAACAACAACAACAACAACAACATAATATTGAAACGATCGTTATGTCCACTACGTGTCCAATAATCTATAGGTCATAGGGCAGGGGTGGGCAACCTAGGGTTGCCAACTTTGTGTTAAAACCATTCCGGGACACTTTTATGTCTTGAATTCGATGCAATAGAAGCTTGCGAAACACGAAAGTCATCAAAAGAAGCAGTGCGTGCTGCGCGTCAAAGATTGATGATCGTACAGCGTTATTTTCATAAACTTCAAGACTTTATATAATTTTATCATATTCAAAGAAACTTGTGAAGTGTTGACTCTTTGAGACATAAATGCAAAAACATCAGGGAAAATGTACAATTTTTGCAAAATAGATTTAATTATTTAACAAAAAATCAGTCTTTCTGGTATTTAAATTTTCTTGTAATTTTGCCTCTTTAAGAAGATCTTTGTTACTACC